TAGTCGGGCTGGCTTGAATGCAGTTATTATCAACGGTCATTTTAGATTTGTTTGTAAATGCTAATAGGTCATTTAAGTTTATTCAAATTGTATGTCCTAAAAAAGGACATAATATCCTCCTATTTCAGTTTTAGTTTTCACCCAATGACCGCCACAACATTCTTTCATAAATTTTTATCTTTGAACGAGTGCAAAAGGTCAAATGTCAGGTAACTTTTCGGTTTCCATAAATTAAGATGCTAGTAACAATTTTACAAAGGCCTTTTTTTCGACAGTGATTTTCTTGAGAAATCAATGTACCAAAATTAACTGCAATATTTATAGTTTTTTTTTTACGTTAATTTCGTATTCAAGGGGTCCGGGAGCGCGCCACTAGGGGTGAACCTTCAGGCTCCATTGAGGCTTTGCACAGATCAGAGTTGGGAGAAGTTTCCAAAAGTAAGATGCGATTCTAAGAAGAACCAGATAAGTTTTCTCGAAGTTTCTCTCGATATGACATTTTCTCTCCCCTATACGTTTTAAATGAACATCAGAACTGTTATGTACGCTAAACTGGAGAGAAACAAGTTAATGGAACCATTTTGCTTCGATCCGCAGTTACGAAGAGAAATTATGGGACGATCCTACAAGTTCCCTTTACCAAGTTACGCCCTCATTGTATCGCTTTTACAGTTGCTCTCCCGGTGATCTTCAACAAAATTCTAATTCTTTCTCCTAGCAAATGTTAATTTGTGACTTTTATTTTTAAAGAAAGAACTTCTTTCCCCTTATTTTAGGTGTCAGTAACCTTCTGACAAAAAGGCTTTTACTTGGGTTGCGTTTGCGCTTCTAACGCACAAAAAGGTCCACGGCACTTGTCAAACCGCGAATAATTCGCAATAATATTTTTATTTATCTAAAAACTGTTTATTTACACTGATGATGGATTTATGATTACTGAGATATTAATCAAAATAGTGATATTATATTCATTTGTCTAGTCGAGTGTCCATTTTCACGGGTAGGAGACTCTGTGCAGCGCCAGGTGCGCGGCCCGTGTGATGCCCTGTAAATTAATGCCCCAAAGGGTCGTTTATACTCGAGGCAACATGCAGGCGTAAACCGGCTTCAGTATACCCGTAAATTTGCTACACGTTGTTTTCATTCATTATAGTCACGAATAAATACAATCTCTCTTTCACACCCATCTGAGACTTGGCGTTTCAGAATCGAGCCAACGAAAGTATTCCAAAGATTTGAATTCAGCACGAGTACTACTTGTCAAAAAAAAACATGTCCTACTTTTGATCCTATATAACTCTGTTGTTTACCAACAGTTTAAACCCAAATTTCAGATCATGTAAACATGGCATGACCAATTTCATGGAGCGACTTTCATCAGCTTTGTGCAAGAGAGTGCAAATTTAAACGCCATACCAGAAAAATATTCACTTTCAGCATCTGCCACTTTCGACTTGGCGTCCTCCAATGTCGATGCGGATGGAGACGGTGGCGGAAGGCGCGTGCTGCGGCCGAAAGCTTCTGACTGAAGGCAGTCAATCTTTCGACGCAGAGGTCCATTTAGGCGGTCGAGCGATGGAGATATCTGCGCCAGTAAAGCAGTAAGTCGTAGGTTCGAGTCCATCAATGCAAACTACTTGGGGATTTTTTTCTGATGTCATTGCACACCTCGATCGTTTGGCGCAACACACAGCTTCTGCTACCGTCCCCAGCGCTGTATCGACATTCTGAAAGTGCATTTGTTTTTTCGCATGGCGTTTAAATCTCACCCTTTTGCACAAAGCTGATGAAACTAGCTCCATAAAACGTGTCATGCCTTGTTTACATGATTTGAAATTTTGGTTTAATTCCATTTGTAAACAAAAGTTATTTAGGATAGAACGCAGGACATTTTGTTGACACGTAGTATGTGAAATGTTTCGTTCGAAAGAGGAGCGACCACGTTGAGAGATTGACTTTTGCAGCCGTTCGGAAAGAGTTCTATTTTACACTGTTTTTAATAGACAACCTTGGTCAGTGAACGAACTCAAGTGTGCATGGGCGTCGCCAGGATTTTTTCCAGGGGGGGGGGGGGGGCAAAGCAAATTTTCCCCAAAATTCCTTAACTTTTTCACTATATTCTCAATACATCATTTTTCCGAGCGTGAGCAGGGGAGCATTTGCCCTAACACCCCCCCCCAATCAAATTAACAGCAATATGGCTTCGCACCTCTTTTTTTTTCTTTTCTTCTTCCTCTTTTTTTTTTCGTTTTCCAGGGGGGCAAGTGCCCCCCCCCCCTTGCCCCCCTCGCGACGCCCATGCAAGTGTGGCCTTTAAACTATGAACAATACTAAAAACAATATACTTAATAGGAACAGCTCGTTCTTTACAATGGTTGAACTGAAAGGGCCGGTATGGTGACAACTATGTGTAGATGGAGATTTGCATACCCCCAAAACAAAACTAATATGCGGATACAGATAGATACATTTTAAAGTGTACCTCTCCATATAAAATAATAATCATGACGTTGAACACATTCCGGGATAGCATCAGACGAGTTGCTTCTTTTCAGTTCAGATTTACATTGCAAAACACAATAAATGTGAAAATGGCGTCATCAGTTCCCAAAGCTAAAGATAGCCACACCCCGTTCTTTGAACGAATGCACTCAATCTATCTTTGGACGTATGGCTCCATTTAGGTGGTCGAGCGGTGAAGATATCTGCGCCAGTAAGCAGTAAGTCGTAGGTTCGAGTCCCACCAATGCAAACTATACTAGTGATTTTTTCGTGATAAGTTCTAGGACGGCACTTAGGCCTAGTATGCAGTGGCGTAGCCAGGAATTTTTCAGTGGGGGGGGGGGGGGGGGGGCGCTGGGGGGCTGGAACATTTCATGGGGGGCGTCATGTAGATCAATGATAATTTTTTTAGAAACTCAAAATCTCAGTGGGGGGGGGGGGCGACTGGGGGGCGACAAGGTTCCATGGGGGGGGGGGGGGGGGCTACGCCACTGCTAATATGTATACAGTGTTTACGAAGGGCAATGTATGATTTGAGAGCCGGTGCAGGCACGGATGGTGCTTTCAAATCCTTCACTTTCAATGTTTTTGGTTCACTCAAAAAAAACCCCACCCCAACACGCATCAACAATCAAATGAACCGTGAACAAGAAGATTGGCATGAATCACGTACATGGGGCGTATTCGAAACCCCGTTAACTTGTTGAATGAACACGAGAACCAACACGCGAACGGTGTTCGCGAACAGGATTTTCACTCCCCACTTAAAGGGAATATACAACATTTGCAAACATTGGAAAACAAAACTACCAAATTTTTACGAAATTCCTTAATAGGATGTTGGTAAATGAAAGTCTAAAGCATCCTGTAAAATTATGGCACCTGGTGTGAAGTCATTTTCAAGAAAAGTGGTATTTTGTATAAATTTCCTACGGTGGTCGGCCGACCACCGTTGGAAAAACCTAACTATTTTTCAACTACTGCTCCAAATTTACGTTTTTTTTCAGTCCAAATTTTGTTTGCTATTGGTTACATGTTCATGAACGGGTGCAGGCTAGCTAGACTGGTTTCCTTACCTTACAATTTTCGGGCATCAATACATTTATTCATTTCATTTTTAGTGGAGTCAGGGAGCCAGACTACTTGAACATATTTGTTTTTCTTGGTTTTTCCAGCATTTTCGAACACAAAACTTCAAACTTGTCAGTGTAACAGTATTTGATCTATTATACTAACCCCTCAAATAGTTCATTTCTGAAAATTACAGCAATAGCCAATGATGTACATTCCCTTTAATGGGGGATAGATGAAGAACGTCAAGTACAAACATGGCGGACTTACCGCAAGTTGCATTCATCTTTAAGCATGGGCCTTATTCACGAGTTGGCCATTTTTGTCGAGTTCCCTGAATGCATTTCATTAATTGTTAACTGTTCAATGGGATGGCGCCAGAGTAATTATGCAGGCACAATGCAGCCTTATTTTACATTTTTTTTTTTAAATGTGGCTTTAAACATTGGGGAATGTTTAATTACAAATTTTAAATTATTCATTGAAGCAGACTGGAATTTATTATTAATGAACTTGCTTTTATTTCTTTTCGCAAGTTCCAACAATTAAGATTTTACCTAACTTTCAATCCAATATCATGACCGACTCGTGAGCTTGCCCGTTAGATTGAAAGCGCTCATTCAATACAGTTGGCCTAGCAGCATATAATATTCAATGACCCCACAACAAATTGTACGCGTCTTTGCCAATTTGTATAGCTGTTCCAGGATTAAATTATTTTCGTCAGATCAGTAGTTCCCCCTTCTTTTCATTCGGCGTTTTAACATGGCGGCTGCCATCTTGAATGTTCGCCCAAGTCCACACGCACTTGGACGTTAGTCGGCAACCCGCGAACATTGATCGGAGTTTCAAATACGCTCATGAGTTTAATTCATGTAATGCATGAACAACACAAGTGTTCGTATTCCTATAATTAGAGTGCTGACCATAGACACGAGGCGGGAGGTAGGGGCTCATCAGAACTTACAATTCCGAAAATCTGAGGTGGGGAATTTACTGAACCGTTTCCGTAATATCCCAAAGATTCTTATCTCCTACTATTCATTGATCAAATGCACATGAAAAGCCAATTTACACAAACGAAGGACGGTTTCTCAGACAATCATGATGATTGGTCAATGCCTTATCAGGTGGGCGTTGCTCTTTTTAACGTTCCACCAATGACATTAGGTGCTTGATAACACTTATAAATATATATACATATCCAGGCTTGCAGGATAATTAATTCCAATATAAAAAAACACAGAAACTGAGAAAGAGCGACACACGTGGACATCTACGTAACATGTTTCAGTTGGAATACCAGCATGTTTGATCACATTTCGCCTTTGCTGTCGACTTAATGAACAGCTAATTATACCGCACGGCTTAGGAGGTAAGATCACCGTCGATGATGCATTGATCGCGTGCGCGCGGGAGCCTGACTATACCAGTGCGCCCAGCCCTCCCACTCAGTTCAGACGCACACAAAAGATCGTGTGTCCAGTGGTCTGAGTAAAGTAGTTTCTTCGTGATTGACAGGCCGATCACTGATGTGCCCAGAGACCACAGCAAGACTTAAAGGCGACTGTCTTACCAGATGATCCAGTACTTTGTTTTGGGTGTTGCTGACCGCTAGAAACTTGTAGCTGGAAACAGTGAGAGGTGTTCACGCTCAAGTGTTCCTTGCTCATATTAGAACCTACTGTACTAGCAGACACTAACCTCTGGCGAGGAGAACTTTGTAGGGAAAAGATTGTTAAAATTGTGCAATATTTTTTGCTGCCTACTGCAAGCACTAAGAGTACTTGTGAAGAAATCACCTATGGTTTTATAGGAGAGTGATTTCGGAATTTGTCTATAATAGCGTCTTGTTTTATTTCTCTCACGTTCACATCATGGAATTTTCTGCCGGAATGCCCCCGAAGGACTTGTTTGTCAACCGTCAACATCACCACGCAGCCGGCGCGGAGTCCGCGGGGAAGAACCCCGCAGCTCGGCGGCCCTCCCCCTCCAACTACTCCATCGATTTCATCCTGGGCACGCCGTCACCGAGTCCCCCAGCCAGGACCGCGAACACAGCAGAGCCGTGCCACATCCGCGTGCCTGTGTACAACACCACGTCGACCACCGGGCGCGGCTGGGATTTCGCCGGGTGCAGCCCGGAAGGAAGAGATGCCAGCGCACGCTATCAACCCTCACGGTGCCCGGAACGCGAGCAGACTCCGGAATGTACTGGTAAGTTCTCGCAACTCTTTACTTCGCTTGGTCAATCACTATTCATTTGGTACAATTGCTCAAATAGTTGATGGTGGTTATTTAACAACTTTTCTTGAAAGCTATAATGGTCATGCATCATTTTAAAATTAAATTTCACGCTTTATGGTCATTTATTCTATCAAAAGTTAAAGGAAAATCCAATTAAGTTACTGCAATGACTCCTTTGGTGTTCAATTACTAATGGGCATATTCACATTTCCAGGAAAGGTTTCAAAAAGAACTCCCGACAAAATGGTCTTCTCCACCTGTTCTCATGCACCCCGACTACAATGTAGTGAGCCTATGCGATTATTTCCACATCAACTTGTCACACTTCAATGTACTTTTTTTGCTAATTTTGTCAACAAAAAAACAAAAAATGCAAAGCTGTCTGAAAAGTCAACTAACCCGGAAACTATACTCACTCTCAAAGAAGATATCACCTAAACAATCTTTATGTTCATTGCCACAAATTGTTCACAATATTTTTGTTGTAATGAGCAACATTTTGCAATTTTGTTTAATAGCATTTTTGGAAGCAAGTCCAATTAAAGAGATAATCTCCCACCTGCACATAATCAACATTGAAGTACACAAATGGTTGGCGTAGTACATGCGTTCCCCATATTCATTCGATCCATGCGAACCGAAACTTCAACATAATGTAGTACACAACCAATAGGCCTATCAAGAGACCATATGGCAATTAACAAACACCGTCAAATTATAGCCTTACCTTATTACAGAAACAGTGCATTTTGAATTAACGAATGTCTTCTGTTTTCGAATTTGGCCAAAACGTGTTAATAAAATTAACTTTTGTTTCCGGGGTTCTCTGAAAAGAAAAAAACACCCCAAACACAAACCTTTTAAACCTGAGCTACATACATCAACGTGATTCTCCATGACAACTGTCCAATGATTCAAACTAATCAATGACAATGTTCGTCTAATAACGTGTACAGTTCCACAGATTTGCGGGGGAAAAACACAGTCCAAACTTCCTTTCGAATGATCGCGGTTACCGATTAATCAACACTTTCAACAACAAAAAAGGTAAAAAGTGTGGCGTGCTGAAATGTTGACCGGTTATTTTTCCAGACACTTAGGCCTCCGAAAATCAATAGGGGGGGGGGGGGGGGGGGGGGGGGGGGGAGGGGGGGGGGGGGGCTCATGCCATATTTTCAATGGGGAGCGCCAATAAAATTCTCAAATCATTCACACTATATTAACTAATGCACCCTTGTCACGGCTATTTCTTCTTTAGGGGGAGACCGTTCGCATGTACATCACAATCCTTTTTTTTTGCTAATGCAATTTTTTTTTACGGAATTCATTTTGGGGGGCTAGACAAAATGTTTGGGGGGCTACAGCCCCCCACCCCTAGCCCCCCCGTAGAACCGCGCCTGCGTGTAGGCCTACCTTCTAGAAATTAATCAACTCTGGCCACAAAGAGACTGAAAAGAACATACCAACAAAAAAAACCCAACAAAACATAAAAAGACAGTATCGATCAGACTTACGGTACTGTTCACAAAATTTAACAATAACACCATTCTCCACATACACAAAGTGACCAAGAATAAAACAGTCACAATACATTAAATGTCTTGTTCATTAACGGGTATTTTCTGATCTTGGAGCGTGTCGTGGATCAATTGATTTCATCATTCTATTTAGTAGATCCTGCTATTACTATACGCAGTTGGCCGTATTATAGCTATATAACGAACACATTTGCATGTGATTTATAAGCATCACGCAGTAATAAAACTAACTCCTTGTAATTATTTTTTGGCCTCGTGCCATTCCATTGTCTCACCAATAACGCTTTTGCTTGCCTTCACTTTTGTACAATTATGGTGAATAAACTAATTGATCACTGGAGCTTGTCGTGCACGCGCCGCACAACAATCCACGTACCCGCACATCTTCAAACCTAGCTCGTTAGTCAGTTCCGTCCAAGCGATGCACGATTGAGCCCGAAAAGCCCTCCAAAATGTTTACGACCGCTGAAACGCTAATTTCATTGGCTGTTGCTTCGAGACAAGCTGTCGATATCAAAACATTTTTTTTCTGAAGCGGGGAGATGTCGTTTTACGACTCGGGCCCAGGATCTTTATTCGAAGATAAACACAGAGTGCTTTCTTAACTGCGGTCCGAACAAAAAGACGCCGAGAAATAATATGGCAAATTATTTGTGCAAATAGTGAAAGGAATGATTATGAATGAAACCATCTAGGCTGGACATTTTTTTGCTGGTACGTGTTCATTGGAAATTAATAAGAAAGAAAACTGCACCGTTGGACGCTTTAGACAGTGTATTCCAGCAATCTTTTGTAGTTTTGCATGCAAGGCTGTTCTAAGAAGTCGCACAAAATTATTGTGCACAAAAAAGCTAAGCAAATTCGGCGCATACGTAAGCAAATTATTTAAAATTTGCCCCTATAACGGGCTGTATGCCTACACTGAACCCCATCACAGTGGCGTAGCCGGGGGGGGGGGGACGTGCCCCCCCCCCATATTCCGTGCCCCCCCCCCCCCAACCAGGTGCCCCCACCAAAATACTGATAATGCCCCTTTTCCTTCCCGGCAACCAAAAATGTTTTTTGTAAGTTGTGTTTTTTTCCAGTTAGCCAAAGGCTTACTGTTTACAATGTCTTATGTCAATGGATATAGCGAGGCATTGTGGGGCCCAACTGGGAAAATTTGCAATAGGATGTCTGCGATATGTGCCTCCCATGATATTCTGATGCCCCCCTGTGCCTCCCCCTACACAGCCCCCGCCCTCAAAATCCTAACTACGCCACTGCTGAACCCCAAAATGTATCCCTTTCCCAATTCGATTTATCTCCGCATTTTGGCTACGTTGGAGCATGGTTGGAGCTTCCTCATTTTGATTGACAGCTGACAATGTCAAGAGCCGCAAGAAGACCGCAAATAGTCTCAATGAACAACCCAATGAATTGTGTCGATAAACTGTACACAAGGGACGACCAATTAGACACAATGGCCCTGTCCCGCCTTTCGTCTGGACGAGGCGTCTTGAACCTATTAGCTCGAACAATACAAGAGGAATAATCTTCCTTCTAAATATAGGCCAAAGAATGTTGTTTGCTGTACCTCTGAAAGACAAAGCCACTTGGAACATCTTGCCAGTCGCGAACACTGATGTGTGTACAACAGTTCTGAAGGAAAACGTGGAAAGGAAAGAATGCCTCAAGAATGTCATGTGGTGCATTCACTGTTGTCTCAAACAATTTGTTCAACAATTCTTCCTTATTGCCGGGTTAGAGTGACCTGTAAAGTAACAGGACAAGTACTCAGTTATTGTTGCGGATTCACTGTTAGTGTGTACCTTATTTAGTTATTTAATCTTGAAGATGTACAAATCCAAACCTTGACATCAATGGTTTAATGTACATAACACTACTGAAATTGTAAAATTGAACAAAAACTATTGTGTGTTTGCTGAATAAGCAAATTAAGATTTTTTTAAATTTTTTAATTTTATTTTGTGATGCAGTTTCCAGCGATCTTAGCCGGAACTTCCAGCACCTTCCCAGCACCGATAATTTCCCGGGCTCCGACCAGTACAGCCCCGACCCGGAGCCGGCGCGGTCCGTGCCGTGCGAACACGGTGACGAAGTCTCCTCCTCGCCTGAGCCGACCTCGCCTCCATCATCCTCATCGGGTAGGGAAGACGAATTGGACGGGGAGGACGATGCTACCCATCCCCACAACCAACACCACCGCGGCGGCGGCGGCGACCCAAAGACGGCCCGCAAGATCCGCCGTAGCCGGACCACCTTCACCACCTTCCAGCTGCACCAGTTGGAGCGTGCCTTCGAGAAGACGCAGTACCCAGACGTCTTCACCAGGGAGGACCTGGCCATGAGGCTGGAACTCAGCGAAGCTCGAGTCCAGGTGAGTGTGGGTCAGGATTACAGGGTCGTGAAGTACAAGTGGCTTGGCTGTGTTGCAATTTTAAGTCTCAGTTTCGGCCAAAAGTTCATACTCAGTGATGTAGTGAGTCAGTCCGATGACAAAAGGCCGGCACATTAAGTAAAGCAAAAAGCTGGCCCATTGCAAGAACTTGGAGGGTTATAGCCCCATCAATGTGGCCAATTTACTGGACTACCTCCGTAAACATAGGCCACACATCCACATGTGCAAAAACGTGTCGCACTTTGCCAAATTTTGATTTTCACATTTAGGCTTAGTTTGTAGGTTTTTTTGCCTTTTTCAGATGTCTAATTTTTGTGAAATTTTATGTTGAAATTTTGATACGCAAACGTGTGCAAATGAATCTGGAAATTTCACGAAAAATAGACATCTGAAAAAGGCAGCACTTTCTGATTAGCCTATAAAGAGGGTGAGTATGCTTCTAAAGCAAAAAAACCCTACAAACTAAGCCTAAATGTGAAAATAAAAATTTGGCAAAGTGCGACACGTTTTTGTACATGTGGATGTGTGGCCTATGTTTACGGAGGTAGTCCAGTAAATAGGCCACATTTATGGGGCTAGGAGGGTTAATGCAGAACCCTTTTTTGCTATTTCTTTTTAAAAACAAAATTGATGGCACTGTCGATTTCAAAGCGATGTTCAAATTAGAAACACATCTATCTGTCTCTTCATCTTTCTAGCATGTTAAACCACTACCGCAATATCCAGGTCATAATAATATGAAAATCAATATGTGACACGCATCACAAGTGTTATACTGTCGAGAAGGGAGGAAAAACCGACGCAGTTTTGGGAGGAAATTCATATTCACATCTCTCGTCCGTCGTATGAATTGAAGATACAACATTTGCAAATATCAAAAACAAAATGATCGAATTACCACGAAATTCTTTACTGGACTATTAGGAAATGACAGTCTAAAGCATCCCGTATACAATCAGGGCTCCTGGTGTGCTGACATTTTTAAGTAAAGTGGTATTTTTTTTAATCGATTTTCAACGCTGGTCGGCCGACCAGCGTTGGAGAAAACTTTTCTTTTCTTCAAAAACTGCTCCGATTTTTCTCATATTTAGTTATGCCGCATCTTCTTTGCAATTGATTACACAGCTGTGAAGGGGTACATGCCTGCTAGACTGATTCTCTGACCTTAAAATTCCCCTACGTCTATAAATTGCTTCGTTTCATCTTAAGTGGGGTCAGGGAACCAGACTACAAGAACATTGGTTTTCTTGGTTTTCCAGCATCTACGAACCCAAAACGTAAAACAAGTCAGTGTAACAATATTTGCTATAACATAATAATATCTTATAATTTATACCTGAAAATTACAGCAAAAGCAAATGTTGTATTCCCTTTAAGGAAGATATTAGATATCAAAATATCTTAACGTTTGAAACATTTTTTTAAAATTAAGTCTTCTCGATGATAAACCTAGGACGCCAAAATAGGGAATGGGGGGGGGGGGGGGAATGATGCAAAACACTTTGTCAGTTCGCGGTTTGCGCACCAATTTATTTTTGCATTTTTTCAATTCCATTCTAGGGTCGTTCAAATGCGCACGAGCAACTTTCACCTACCTGCATTCTGAAGCAAACATTAATAGAATACCCGTTGAAGGCAAATTATAAAAGTTAATTTAAACAGTTTTAATAACCAATTATCGTGAACACAAACGATAATTACATTAAACGAGGTTTTACTGCCTTGATATTTAATGTGTGTTTATATTTTCGCCTTGTGGAAAGTGTGAATTAATCATAACAATATAGTTTAATCATCTGGCACTAAACGACATCAGTTAATTGGAAAATAGATTAGGAGCCTTGGGCCATGGATCAAGGATCTTGAATTAAAAACTATTTCTAATTTACACAAACACTTTAGCTAGCCGTCGGCCTCAGGGCAATTATGAAAATGCATTTTCTGTGTAAACAGAAACGGGTATTGACACGAACGTTTGACTAATATACATGTATTGCTATTAAGCACTTGAAATTGAAGGAAATAGAATAAGTGTCATTTGCCAAGGCAAATATGGGACAGTAATGAGGAATATAGTGTTTCATATGAGCTTTGTCAAGAAACAAAAAGTTACAACCATGCTAAGTCACATTTTATTTTATGAATGCAGGTCTGGTTCCAAAACAGAAGGGCGAAATGGCGTAAAATGGAGAAGGTGCAAGGCCGGGAAAGCCCCTCGGGTTTCTTCGGTTCTAACTATCCCGTTGACTTCGTGGGATCTCACGGTATGGACTCGGCCATTCCCACCGAACGCATCCCGGCTTGGGCGATGCACAACGGCAACCCTACCGCCGGTGTGAGCCCCGGTCTGCTGGCGCAGGTCCCGGTAGGCCTACCCCAGCACCCCGGTCTCGGGGCTATGGTCGGCGGCTACCCGCTCTTCGGACACCACTTTGGCCACTACGTTCACCCACCCCACCAGCAACAGCATGGGCAGCAGCATCACCACCACCAAGCCGCTGCTTCTTACTGGCTGGCCAGGCAGGCAGCCTTCCCCGCAATCGCCTCCCCGTGGCACTTGCCAAGCCTCCGCATTCCCAGCCTACGAGCCAGCGAGCAGAGCGAGCTGCCAACCTCCGTGTCGCCTCCCGCGAAGAAGTCGACCAGCCTCGCCAACATCAACGACTTCCCCTCGGACTCTCACGCCTTGTTGAAGAAACAGAGCATTGAGGCGCTGCGAAGCAAGGCCAGGAACCACAGCTTGGCCTCCGATGAGTTGCCAGTCACACCCTAAATACATTCTTTCTGTATCCTTCAACACCTATTGCAGCTCTAGTTTAATTAAAATATTCACAAGAATTTTAAACATCTTATAAATGACGGGTCGTCAAACGACCCAGGGTATATCACAAGAGGGTGCCAATTTAATTGAGAACTTAGCAGGATTCTTTTCTTCAGAACATTTTGCTTTGACGACTTATTTTAACTCCTCCTATGATCGGCATGCACCTCTTTTTGTATCATTATGTAATATTTTTTTGTGCATATGCTTTTATCGCATCTTATAATTCTAAGTTATATAATGTACATTTAATCTTTTTCTTTGGCTTTAACGCTGATTATTCGCCGTGCAATTTTATCCTACATTTGGCATAAAGCAATGTTATGTTTAATGATTTACGAATGTACTTGTTTAATATAACAAAATGACACCGGGGTTGACTATGATTTAAAGGTCCGTGCTAAACTTTCCCGCTGAACTGCTGTATATTTATTCAAATGTGATTCTGTATTAGTTTATGTCTTTGTCTGTATTGCATACTACATGGTCCTTTAATCATTCTCGTGTACGATTTTAACACAAGATGGGCTGCCAACAGTACAGAAATTTAAGCCGTGTTGGGCAACAGATTTGACAATTGGTTAATAACCCTCTCAATATAAGTCTTTGGTGGCGTGTCTTGGTTAGTTTGTATTTTCAACAATCCAATGATACGTTTTGAAAAATAAATGACAAAAACACGGTAGCTATTGACCAATCAAGAGCTCTGGCCAAATTTCTACTCTAAATGACGTCACACTTTGGAGGCGGATCCGACTGGCTGGCGTGCAGGGGTCGCATAAAATGTACATGCTCGGATATATCAGTCGTTTGTAGTGCGGCTCTGCGCAGCACATGAACGTCTCATCCTCAGACTACACACAGCTCAGTCACAAAAGAGATTTGATTACTTGTAAATGGTGCTACCGCAAATTAACCTCCATCTTTATATACTTTCTACCATATCTCAAGTCTTACCTAATTAATAACTATTCTTTATTTTTGTAACATTGACCTTCAATTTTTCCCCTCAAAAAGTGCCCACCACGGGTCGGCAAAGAAAGGTCTATTGACCTTATTCCCGAGGAAGCCATTTTCGGTCGTTTTCCTTGAATGTATTTACAAATTGTGAACTGTTGAATGGGATGGTACCAGACTATTTATGAATTAGCCTTTTTTTTAAGGGAATGTACATCATCGGTTTTTGGTGTAATTTTCAGAAATGAACTATTTGAGGGGTTAGTATAATTGATCAAATATTGTTACACTAACATGTTAAAATGTTTTGCGTTCGAAAATGCTGGAAAAACTAAGAAAAACAAAAATAGTCAAGTTGTCTGGTTCCCTGACTCCGCTAAAGATGAAATGGATCAAAACTGCCGGAAAATTGTAAGGTAAAGGAACCAGTCTAGCTGGCCTGCACCAGTTCATGAACATGGAACCAATAGCAAACAAAAAATTTGGACTGACGAAAAAAATGGTAAATATGGAGCAGTGGTTGAAAATAGTTAGGTTTTCCAACGGTGGTTGGCCGACCACCGTTGGAAATGTATACAAAAGTACAATTTTTCTTGAAAATGACTTCACATCGGGTGCCATAATTTGACAGGATGCTTTAGTCTGTCATTTACCAACATCCTAGTAAGGTAATTCGTAACAACTTGGTAATTTTATTTTTCGATGTTTGCAAATGTTGTATTTTCCCTTTAAATGTGGCTTAAAATATCAGGGTATGTTTAATCACACATTTTTAAGTATTCATCAGAGCAGACTGGTATTAATTCATAATGAGCTTAATGTCATTGCTTTAATTTCTCTTCGCAAGTTCCAAAAATTAAGTTTTTACCTCGCTTTGAATCTAATATTGCCGACTTGTGAATAAAGCCCATAGGCGCATATTAATATATAATACTGCAGATCAAAAAAAATCGCCTTTTATCAATTTCCCTGATCTATAGTGAATTGGTTTTAGGAACTGTACCTATTAATCCTAAAGTCCTTATCAGCTAATGAAAGTGTTGCTCTCACAATGTTTATCAAGATTCCGAAAGCACTAAATTAATTGAGTGATCGCATGGTGCTTCTGTGAGAGGCTAAAAGTTTTATTTATATCAACTTCCCAATGATCAGGACAAACGTCTTTGTAAATTGTATATATTTGAATAATTTAACTTATTTACAGCTGTATTTATAAAGGTGTGTTTTTTTGTAATTATAATCAACCAAATCATGAATATCTTTATTTATAAGGTGATCCCGAATAAACATGTTTTATATTCAAAAATAAACTCGGTGAAGAAGTCATTACAAATCAGGCACATAATAGTCATCATGCAACATTATTGAAGTTTTTTTCCTGTAAGTTCCCTGTGTTCCAAATGCCGTTTTATGACCCAAATTTGGTTAAAAGTTTCTTTATATTGATCAAAGAAAAAGGCCGCATATTTGACCTCGCCGGTTTTAACAATTATTACAATGTTTCACAATTATCACAATTATTACCCCTGTTCCTCAGGCCAGGAGACCCTAATCTATGTAATAGACCATGACGAAAGCCATGGTCTATGATATGTGAGCAGATACGCTGATTAATTAGGCAAGACAACCGCCTCTTTACCTGTAGATTTTGACCAATCAGCGGGCACTTTCTACATCGGGCCTTTTGTCATTTACCCGTTGCGCGTCATACACATCCACGATAAAAAAAAAACCGTGTAGGGTGCTAATGCGCGCCCGGCTGTTGTTGTATACAAAACACTGCCTTCGAATTGACCAATCACAGTTTTAGTCCTGGTTTGGGAATGAAATGATGTTACGATTGAGTAGGCCTAAAGTCGAATCCGACTGGCTGGCGCGCGGCTTGCATAAATCTGAATGTCTAGACATATTATATCGGACGTTATACAGGACTTGGCTCCGTGAATAACGGGTGATACACATGCGCGTCGCCAGGATTTTTTCAAGAGGGGGGCAAATCCCATTCCCCCCCCCCAAAAAAAAATTCCCTATATTTTCCGCATTTTCCCGATGGATCATTTTTTTGGGGGTGGGCAGGGACATTTGCCCCCCAACCCATTAAATTAACGACAATATGTCGCGCCTCTTTTTCTTTCCTTTGTTTTTCCTCCTTTTTATTTTTGCTTGTCCCGGGGGGGGGGGGGACGTTGCGACGCCCATGGTGATACTCAGACTAACCATTTTCTGCGGTAGTTCGAGATCAGCACAATCTGGTCTTTACCCTCACAGGTACCCATTTATACTCCTGGGTGGAGAGAGGCAATTGTAGTAAAGCGTCTTGCCCCAAAACGCAAGCATGCCCCATGTTCCCGTAAAAAAATAATGTAGCAAATCCCTACATAACACTGGGGGGGGGGGGGGGTATACAAAATTAAGCTTCGCTCTACTGCAGTCAAAGAATTCAAAAATACCAAACTTACAACAAAAAACCACCGAAATTATAATTATAGGCCTACAATCCCCACACAAAATTCCCACAATTAATAATACAGTGCATGAAAACCTCACTGTCGGCGATTTAGTAAGTTCCAGACACGAGGTGGCGCTTTTCATAATACAAACTCGGAGACTGTGCGAAGAAGTAAAATTCTGTCTCACGACCACTGTTTACTTTTTGGCTGTGGTGGCGTTGAGAGAAGGACGCCTAGTGACTAGACTGACGTTATTTGTTCATTGCAAAAACGGGCTCGGAGTACGGCAAGACTGCCGCTGTCACAAATTGGTGGATTTACACCCCGGCAGTAGCCTACCTTAGATCCCATGCACTACAAAGGTGATTTACATTGAATTTGTGGCTCGGCGTTGATTCACAAACTTAGCTCTGGCCTTAGGTAGGACTTCCTTACAATTTTACACGTGACGATCTTATTAAAAGGAGCTCCACCTCAGCACAAAGCCATAGTTTAGCAAAATTACAAAATCACACACACGGGTGTACTGTTGGTCATTATCAAGGGCGGATCCAGAACACAATTTGGTCCCCCCAAAACAGGGTCCCAAAAATTACGGCGTGGGGTTCGGGGCCCGCTTAAGGGCCCCGAATAATGCTCTGTGGTGCGATCTGAGGCTATTTCAGACCACTTTAACCAAATCTTTTGGAGGAAAAGATGGTGGTGTACGAAGTGCCTGCCTTTATTGCGACGCCACTAAGAAAAAGTGTGTTTTTTCGGGGGGGGGGGGGGGGGGGTGGCCCCCGTTGCCCCACTGGATCCGCCCGTGGTCATTATATGATTCCGGATCTTACTCGTGATTCGAGGGTCGCTGGATGCTTAACTGCAAACGTCTCTAGACGGACCCAACTTCGTCCCCAGGGATTACTTTCCTTTCAACCTCGTTTTCAATAACAAACCCAGGGTGGGAAACTTGCTTCCTGTATCTTGATTCGATATGGATTTTATCGTGGACTCGTCTTCTCCTAAAAACCAACCATCCCTTTTCCATTTTGCTCATAATAATTTCTAATGTGATGCTGCATGTTTTATGGTACGATTTCTTGTTTCGTCTAGTCGGATGTCATACCGCGACGAATTGATTCCGTGTGTACCCCAGACACCGCATACAAAAACAAACGCAGATTTAAAGCATATCCAGACACCAGACTATTCTGCAGCTAATTTGCATGTGCACGATTTTTTGAACATGCAAATGATCCGACATGGGTTAGAGAGCAGGTATTGGGAATGATGTTGAGATGGACCATGGATGAATCAGTTTACGGTAGAATTGCTTGCGTTCGAGTGAAGTGCATTGTGAGTCGATTTATTGTTCACCATAATTCACGCTCGAACTTGCACACTGTTGTATATTACCTGATAAATTACCTGAAGTCACCTGATAAAATTAAAATCATATTTTTCACTTAATAGCAAGGCTGTATGACAACATACATCCTCAAAGTGGCAACTAAAACAGGTAATCTACTCATAAAACATTCGCATACGGAGTATAGACACAAATACAAGATGTCATTACACCCCAGTAAAAAAACATGAAAATGGTATATATTAGAAACTTCTGTGAGAGAAAGTTCCTCCATGTCAAATAAACCTTCATTTCAAATAAACATTTCATATACTCACCGAAACTTGGTTAAATAAGCCAGTCAAGCTCCCGAAGATGAGATTGACTCCAACGATCGTCGACTCGGGCCTCACCTCCAAAAAGGACAATCATGACAAGACTAACTTGCGAAGTGTCGTCATTCCATGGTGGTTGATGCTGGAATGATCCAACCGTTGATCTTTATAAATGGCTACACGCCCTTTTTAGCTCAATACCAAGAATTTCTTTACATAGGGGTTTGTGATTATGTAACAAAAGGGTGACAAAAGGCGTGATCAAGAAAGCATAGCTCGACTGTCAATTCCTTTTTTTTTATACAAAAAACTATGTTACCATCTGTCGATGGAGGCGCTGTTCAAAACCGACAATTATGCACACAAAGTGCCAATATATTGTGCTTTTCAGGGCGATACATGTGCGAAACTCTGAAAAAGGCACCCAAAACGGCAGATGCCACAAAAAAGGGCACCACTTCTTTTTTTAAAAGGGCACTTGTTCAGAAAAAAAGGGCACTCTTTACAAATTATTGGGGGGAGGGGGTGTAAGCCCGTTGCAAAAAGGGCATTTGAATGGAAAAAGGCAGTCTTTACTAAATATTGGGGGGGGGGAATACCCCCTTAAGCCCCCCCCCCCCTGGCAACGCTTATGGAAAGGCGGTAGTGTATGTCGAAAATGCAAGAGATTCAAACGTTTCTATAAAACGTCTCAGCGATTCGATCGCATGTGCGCCACCTCTCGCTCTATCTCCTTCATCAGTTAATGCACGTTAATGCAGTTAAGGCAAGCTTACAGCACCACGTGGGTTTGCTGGTCCAAATTTCTGTTCCACAATTATTTGCTGACACGAGATGTCGACCTGGCTTATTCTGCTCGTCTATTTCTCTAATATTTCGATCATTCGACTCCCCCCCCCCCGATAATAATAATGCTGAAACATCATGAACAAATGCAAAATCATACTACTGATATAAGAACAGTGATTTTTTATTAACAATGGAAAGTGATACAACCTGAAATACAGTGTGTATCTAGGCCTATTGTATACAGTGTGTGTCTACTTCACATCATTCGGGTCATTAGTCCGTATAACTGAGCTCTCCTCATTAGCAGCTTAGAGCATGTTTGGGCGAGAACCATTAGTCGACTTGTGGTTGATTTGTGACATGCTTACGCCGCGCCTACGCATTCTAGTCTGGTTCCCAGACCTGACAATTATTCCCGACGCTCACGTCTTAAATTGTAGGTCAGGCAGCCTCCGTGGCTAAAAATAAACATGACGACATTAATGGCCCTTTTTCAAAGCGCGGCTCCGTTTCCGATTTCGCTTTATCACTTGTAGCTTTTAATGTTCCGATCAAATTTTTGAATAAATCACTTGCTTCGTAATATCATACAGTTATGATAATACAGTTTGATGTTTTTGTAAGATAACATTGACTAATGTTGATCTGGAATCTTCAAAATTAGGGAACCAAATAGCACTGTTAGCAGGCGGAGCCGAATGAAGACCGAGTTTTGGAAATCTCGGTAACGGTCGTCAAATTCAAAATTGTACATGACGCAGCAAAAAGTTCGCCCGTACGATCCGAGTATATTTGATGCACAAAATCGTCGTTGAATTTCAAGTTTTCTAAATGAAAACAATGAATATTAATTATCAACTCATTTAAAATCAAATTAATAAGCAATTAGCAGTTAATTAAACCTATATTATATACTCGGAAATACTCGGGCGCTATCCGATTGTCGACGAAACGACTTCGGCAAACTTCGGAAATTTTCGGGAAAAGGAGGAATTCCTCCCGTTTTAGTCACGTGACGTATATTGTAATACATTGTATTACCGGAGGCTACTGGACCTAAGATTCATCAGGAATAGTCAGAATCTTTTGGTCTGGGAACCAGACTATACGCATTCATAACAATAACAACGTTCGACAACGTGGGGGGGGGGGGATGTTGCGACCCACCCCCTCTTTATCCGCTACTGTGTTAGTTGCCATCAGAGTCTTCGCCCGAACTTGCCCTTACAAAACAACACCAGATTTCACCTTGTTCCCGTGATCTACTCAAATCTCGGTCACAGAACGGGGGTAACGATAACGATAGTACGTAAAGGACTTTTGGCTGAATTTGCACAACAGCCACAAAGCATTGTGGGAAGGCAAATGGGGCAGTATATCTGCCTTTCCCTTCCATCACGATACATTTTTGGCCACTCTGCGAAATCACGATTAGGCCTATGCGATACAAGAAAAAACCCCAACCTTATACAACACGAAACTTTTCTGTTTACACGTTTCACTGCATAACACCAAAAAAAGAGAGAATATTTAAAATATGTACATGTACATGTACATATGCCTATAAAACTTGTCAAGTTTAAAATTCATTCTGGTTTACGACAATGCTTAACAAAATAACCAAACTAGCTACATAAATCATGCAATTTGAACTATAATATAAATTGATGCTTAAAATCCGGATTGATTTTTTTTTATATTTATAGTTACATACGATATAGGGCCTATAACAAGATAACAGTATATATGTGTGAAAACCATAACAAACCCTTGACAATATAACGGCGCCCTATGCTCCCTGACGATTACAAGATAACTTATACAGCCAAATTAAGGTATATACTGTTGTGAAACCCAGAGGACCATGAAAATAATTTGCGATACAAATTGGTAAACTGTCCTAGCCATTTTTGAATAAATGTTACTACTGTCACCTCCTTTGAAACTTTCCAAGGCAAGCCATGCTTCGGTTATTCACCATTGGACTGAACCCCAACTTTTAAATCTGCAAAAAATAAAGAAACGAGAAAATAACAATGCGTCACTTACTTCAAGAAACAAACATTTAAATTAGTCTGTTGACGCCACTGGAAGGGACCATTTGAAAAAAGAAAAGAAAAACTCTTCATATGCGATTAACTTTAATTTTCAGTCTCCGTTGGCGTTTTGTAACTACAAGAGTATTTCTGGCCCCTCTGATTTTTGTTGCCACTGCGAATTTCCCTATTCGTGAGCAAAACCATTTTCATCTTGGGTTTAAGTGTTACGCCTGCGTGTGCACAAGAATATACATTTACTAGAATGCTTTCTGTTTGATCTATTATTGTCTAATGTTGTGTAACTTATGACCCAAACAAAGTGGACCCAGAGAAACGAATTCTGACGTTCTGAGTATGGTGCGGTTACCGAGCGTAGTCAGTCCCACGTTGAACTTACATATAACATGATAACTTACCAACCAGCATCACACCCTCATTCTGGATCAGTATTAGCTGTTCTTTTTTGGGGTTTTGTTACCAATAAGGCCTATAGGCCTACAATAATCCGGAGAGGGTATATCACCCTATAGAAACGACTCTTTACAATCTGAGTATGGTGCGGATATACTGAGTTTAGTCTCAGGTCGAACTTACATGATAACTTACCGACCAGTTTCACATCCTCATTCTGGATCTGTCTCAGCTCCTCCGCAACTCCTTCCCCGTCCCCGTCCTCAGCAGGGTGGTGCAGCTCCACAAACAAGTAGTAGAAATTGGCCCCGACGATCCCTCCGAGGGGCGGAACCAGCGTGGGAATCCACCACCAGTGGACGCCCCGCGGCCTGTTCATCAAAAGAAAGTATGATACAGGTGTTTAGGTCCGTCTCGTAAGTAGGTTCTGAACATTAACACGAGGAGCCTGAACCATCAATTCTTGCTGGCCTATGGTAAAAAAAAAACCTTCCTATGTGCAATTCGGGTAGGCCTACATTCATTGAAAATAAAATTAAATAAAAACAACCCAGCTCCGACTCAATTCTTTTTGTTTTCATAGAAACACATAAAAAATAATGTGAAACCCCGCTCCCCCCCCCCCTCCCCCCCTGCTCTGACACCCCAAAAATATTATACTGGTAATAATATCTGCTGGTGTACAAAAACTGGACAGAGTCAGCTGTGTCATGGTGGTATTTTTACACTATTCTGTAGTATATTGGTATAATGATTGTCGGATTTGAACAGCGCCCCCATTTAAATTATGGTACAACCCCCCCCCCCTTCCCTGCCCCACATAGGCCTACCTATTGATTTTATGGAGGCAACAATTCCTGGATCCGCCCCTGACTTTAGAAATCAAACAAATGTATTTTGTTTGCAAACGTTTGACATCTGTTCCAGCACCAAAAAGAGTTTTATGATATCTGACAAAAATAAGCATGCCACATTCCAATAAGGGACCATGTGGGTTAACAAGTTTGCTTACACCCAGACTTCAGCTCCGTAGCCAGCCAGCCATGTCAACAGCCGACCAGCCAAGTCCCTGGCTGGGTTCATGGGTGCCCCGGCGTTGTGTCCCCAGGCCAAGATGATCACGGCCACAGACAGACCCACAAAGAACGGCTCCATCCCTTTGGTCGGTTTGCCGTTTCTCTCGTCGAAAAACATCAGGGTGCAGTGCAAGAGTAGTCCTGTGTTTATGATCTTTGGAGGAGGAAGGGATTGGTTCACGTGTGAAAAACAATGCTAGACAAACACAACAGACTGACTATAGACGAACAGCCGGAGAGACAACCGACAACTGACAGGAAGCCAATATCAAGACAGTCACTCAGGCCCAACTTGCTGATTGACGTCAAGTCTAAGGCTAATATTCGTTTCAAAGGTTTTGACACCTAGAGGAACCTAGTATGCTATAGGTGTTCTATACACAATTATCAATCAATACACATCTGAGTTTACTCAGTGACATATTGCAACGCGTTCTTGAGACTATTAACCTATTTCTCTTAATGGTATTACAAACCACGACGACTGAATGCCAGGAGGATTTCAACAAGGCAGGACGCCTTTTTAGGAGCAGATCATGCATTCCGCTGATCCTGCTGTTAAATTCCTGTCGAGTGATACGAATGAGGCGAGATTTATCGCATAGTGCACCTCCTAAAAAAAAGGTATATGCGGCTTGTTCAGATATATATTAACTGTCAACTCAAGGCAACAACCCATGTTGTCACTCTTGAACCCTTGATTTCTCGCAGAGTTATAATCAATGATTATACAACAGTGATAAACTTGATCATATCTACCGTACTGTCCTGTGCCTTACCTGTTCCACAAATCCAGGACCCATGCCGAAATACTCCTGTGGGTAGGTACAGAAGATCCCGCCGGTCCCTGTGGGTCCAAAGACCGTTCGGTTACCTCCATCGAGCGCATCGATGCTCTCTGAAAATATGAGAAAATTTTCGCATTTGATCCAATGAAGTAAAAATCATGGTAAACAAAGCAAGTGGCTTGGAACTTAATTGCATAAAATTGATCTTTAAATTACGAAGACCCATTGCGCCCTCAAGAATTGTAAATTGCATAAAATACAGCGCGTCCCAAAATACCCGCAACTTTTTTTTGCGAGGCTCTAGCGTCGGCGCGGAAACACGCATCGCCATTATTTTTTTACCATTTTAAAGCTTGAAATCTGAACTTGATCCCTGTCGAGTAATGGTTTGATATTTAAAAGAGTTTAAAAATTATTCGTGTTCAAATAAAGGCATGTCGAAAACAAACTCGACCGATTTCAAGGAAATTCGATGATGCGGTACATCAGATGCAGACTCGAGTCACACTGTGAGCTCGCTTTTTGAATAGGTATATACTTGCACTTGAATTTCAAAATTTAACTTGAAACGAAGAACAAGATTGTGAACTCATTTAAGGAGTAGTCTAGAAAGTAGAAGGCAACGAGATCGTCACATCATGAACATGATGAACCATTCTCACATTAGAACAAAATAGCGCATGATTGATTGTCCTTGAAATCGGTTGAGTTTGTTTTTGACATGCCTTTATTTGAACACGAATAGTTTCAAAACCTTTTGAAAATCAAACCAATACTTACCATGGATAAAGTTAAGATTTTAAGCTTTAGAATGATATAAAAATAATGGGGGTGCGATTGCAGAAAGTTCAAAAACAAAATGGGAAGGTGAACAATGTCGGCTTGTTGGTGGCTAATTAGAAATTCGTGTAATGCATTTAAGAACGAGAGCCTAACCTTTTTGAAATATGGCGTCACAATAGGACTAAGGCGGTTGCTATTTTTGGTGGGTAAATTTGGATAAATACATGTTTTCTCCCAGAAGCGCAGACAAAGCAAAAAGACAAAAAAAAATGTCTTATAACCGTCTCCATTGTGTTTGTCCCTTGGCACTTGTGACAATAAAAACTAGTATGCCTGACGAATTTGATTAATCGACCCACCAGCTCTGCATGCATGATTAAGGCCAAACGAACCATTGCAAAGAAAGTCAGGCGCAGTGCGTGATGGCTTAAGCCGTTTTGAATAAGCTACGCATAATTTTCATGGATTACGCGCTGTATTGAGCTCTCTTTTTTTACGAGGAGTTATTTTATGGGGTCAAAAAAATTGGAGGGGGGGTGTGAAAGGTCACGCCATCTCTTTTCAAGCCTGTTTCCAGAAATTGTTTTTGTCCCTGTTCTTTGGGTCGCCACTGCACGTCAGGTTAGCAACGATGACATCCCTTTTTGCCATTATCCGCCCACATGGGAACGTTTGACAGTTTAATAAATCTATACTCGCCAAGTACCGTGTGGAAACTGCTTCTCCGTGGGTTACACAATCAATCATTATGCCAGGATTATCATTTTTTTTCGGTCAAAAGGGTTCAGAGCCGTAAAAAGCCACTAAAATCCCTCCACATTACAGGATTATGCGATTACCGGATCACCGAGCCCACACAGTGACTGCCATTAATAATATTTTGGTGATGCACTTCATGTAGTGACAATTAGAGTAAAACACACACAAAAAGGGTAGTCCAAGCGATGCTTCTGCAAGCGTTGGGTCCACACTAAGAAGCAGAAACCTAAAGTTTCAGTATTATGGAATTGCAAATTGATCCATACGTGATATAATACCTTACAGCTTTAGAGTATCCATTGCAGTGCACAACCGCGGGATCTGCACTGTTTTAACCTGGAAAACATGGTTATAGGCCTAAAACGAGCTGGAAAATTACCAGTCTCAGACTCTCAGTCATTCAAATAATTTAAAACACGTCCTTCTCCCTCCTGTGTTTCTCTTACCTGACTGTTTCTGTACACCTGTCATTTTGTCTTTGACAAAGATTGTTAGAATCTAAAAGATAAATGCCATCTAATTTTGTTTCATTTAAAAATACTTAGCTTATTACAACTTTACGAAACCTTAAAATGTCCATCCATGTAGGCCTATACGTTGCCGAGTTTTCTTTTAGATAAAGTGTACTGAAAGACTGCATAGGGAACTTTGCGAAGCCAAAACACGTCTCGGTCATTCAAAAAGATGATTTTAGATAATTTAGTCTAGTTTTGTAACGCCATGATAATTTTGCTCCCAAAACGAGGAAACAAAGATTGTCACTGTTTAACTTCCGCAAAAGGTGTTTTGTATTAAAGGCATAGAATCAGTTGCTTTTCATGCATTTTGTTCGTTTCCAATAGGTCAAACCCTAACCCTTATAGTAGAAGTTTCAGCTCAGTGGATATTACCTTTTGATCACGTACGGTTCCGTCAATAGCACTCTATATTTCCAATAATAAAGTTAATGGACTGATCGTTGGAAATCACCTATATTTCTTGATTTCTTCTAAATGACAGCATGCCAGACGGAATAATTCCACAGGGTGTTTATCACTGCAGTATATAATTAGATCTTTTATTCCAGTAAGATTTATGATAATAATTCGCCAGGTTGTCCTAGAGATTCATTCAAATGATGATATAGGCCTTTAATAACAAATGAACAAACGACTGCACATTGGAGCGTCTCATAAAAGTTAATTGGGATATATTTGTCTTTTTGTCAAAAGAAGAGTATACTTACGGTAGTAAATACCGAAGACGACCGAAGCGCCGCAGAAGGCTCCGATAAGTTGAGCCAGGATCCAGAGTGGCACCCGTCGCCATGGAAACTTACCAACGGACGCTAAGCCCACGGTAATCGCCGGGTTCACGTGACCACCTGCCAATAGGATTAACCAAATATCGTTCACCCAAACCCTTCCGATTTTCTTTTTCTGTCCCCCCCCCCCACCGTAGTCTCCAAAACATGATAGTTCAAGTAAGAAATGTGCGTGCATTTCGTTGGTAATCTAACTCGGCCAAACCATTGTTCATGCGGCGGTGGAGACAGGGAGCCAATTTAATTTGCTGGTGTCCTTGTATGAAATTCAGTATGCAATGTTTGAGAGCACAACATGAATGTTATAGGAAGTAGCACTCCAATAACCAAAAAAAAACCTGAGGGGGAAATGCAAACTCTCCGCAAAATAACATGTACTGCTCTTTCTTAGAGGACCGGTAACGTAACCGCAGAAATATGTAAAATATCGCCATAACATCCGTGTACAGACATGAATGTCTCCGATTGCATCGGAGATTAAGACAAATAGCTGATTCCTACTTTAACACAGTGTAATAAAGCATAGCCATACAACTCCGATATTGAATTGAAATATTATCATTGCCAAAACGGGCTATTAATCGACCAACATCTGAGTGTTTTTTTTAATGAGTTAGACCTCCATTTCTATATAAGACAAGTAAATTTATACACCAGTTTTTTTTCTTCAAACCTCATGCTATGAATATTTAAAAAGTGCCCAAAAGTGGGGGTATTTTCGTCAAGACGCGTTTTAATCTGCTCTCCCTTGCATCCCCAAGACATGCTTGGATACCCCACTGTTGCACCCTTTGCTTATTCGGCAAGCCGACATACCCGACACTGCAAGACCGGTGTATATGCCGAATGCCACCCCCATTCCGGAGGAGAAGGCGGTCGAGACTGGAGTGCCCGAGATCCATCCGCTGACGATACCCCCGGCAAGACCGCCATCCACGAAGAGCTGGTAAATCAATTAATAATACAATTCAGTCACTTAAAAAATGCGAGTATAAAACTGCGGAGCACCGTGGTCCAATGGTTTAGCCTACGGTGGACTCATGTGTCGTGGTTCATGGTGTGTGGGTTCGAACCCCGACGGAAACATGGTGCTTGTGTTCTTAGGTAAGACACTTTACTACAATTGCTTCTCTCCACCCAGGATTTAACGGGTACTTTTGAAGGGAGAGACCAAATTATACTGATCTTGAGCTACTGCAGAGAAAACGGTCCCATGGCCTGATGAACAGGGGTAATAATTGTGAAGCTAATTGAGACCTATGGTAGAACAAAAGTCTCAGAGAAATTTTCAAAATTCCGTGAGAAATATTTCCACTTTAACGAGGTTGCTGGGAAGTCAAGAGGTGGTGGATAGCACAGCTTGTTATTGCCCCGGAGAGACGTGTAATATTCACCATGTGACCCTGCATAAACATCACAAATACCATACCGTCGGTCAACTTGGACACATGGCACAAGACGCACACTGACTGAGCCACATACGTCAACCTGCCAATAACCTTTCCGTCCCGGGTTATTCAAATTCCCTTCATGAGTTTCTGCTGGTTTTTTTTGCACGTTCCCCCCCATCAATTCCCCGAGTTTCCCTGAATAAAAAAAATGGAAACTCATTTTCAAGGTTTCCCCCTGATTTCCAGAAAGAAAACAAACTAATAAAGACGACTACGCCTTCATGTGAATAAATTGAAAGAAACAATATACATACTACGAGGACAAATATTCCAGCCATTTCGGCGAGCATTCCCCTGGCTATCTCATGCTTCACCGTGATGCAGCTGCGCACCTTCTTCGGCACCAGTGGCAAACCCATGGTTAATTCAGCCGAGCTGTACCCTAAGAAACAAGACGAAAACACAAGTGTTTATTGATCCGTCATGTAAAATATCTGTGATTTTTTTAAGACAAGAGAAAAGTATGTGAAAAACGTGAGCAAGCCTTGTACTTATTGACACGTGGGAACATTTGCAATTACCCCGATACGTACCTACTGATTTAACGAGAAAATCCTCGCTCAAATTGAAGATAAGTCTGGTACCAAATACCTCTCGAAATTAGAAGAAAGTAAGAGGTGTGAGGGAAACCCCAGATGAATATCTGTGGAAGACCCACGGAATCAGGTAGGGACTGAAAACCCAATCTACATAATGTGTATGCTCCGGGCAGGAATCCAACCCGGGCCAAAGCGGTGGAAGGCGAGGGGAGTACCAATAACCACTGCGCCAACCTGACTCCCCTTGAAAAATGACTTTCCCCAGGAAAATCCACCATCTACACGGAACTGAAACTTCAAAGGGTTAGATCATCTGAAAGCAGTCTATATGAACATGTAAATGATCCACGGCATTTCTCACATGCAAAAAGAAACCCATTCGAAGTTTAAAACGTCTGTCTTTATTTGCAGATGTGCGGGCCAAGCACACGGAACGATTGGAACCGAATATCACACAGAATATTTACACATAAAGCCGCTATATTTTAAAAGGGTTATAGTCTGGCACGAATGACGATTGAATCAATAAGGCTTCCAAGGAAACCCACGCATTCCTCGGATGACTGAAGGGGTATTGTGCATTTCCCCTTTCAACACTGTTATTTCGGTTGTGTAAAAATCAAACGGTTGTGTACTATATGAACCTAGCAACCCGTTGTGTAAACTGTTGTTTACACAACTTGTGTAAAATACTACACAACTTGTTTATTTTTTTCACACAACTGGTTGCTAGGTTCATATAGTACACAACCGAAATAACAGTGAATATGTACTATCAGAACCTTGTCGAATTTTCAGATTGCTTGTTTATTTATAACGAAAATAAACCCACCCATTTTGTCGAATTTTCAGATTGCTTGTTTATTTATAACGAAAATAAACCCACCCATTTTGTTCAATTTTGGACGCCTAACACCTCCAGCAGAAAAAGAAAATCGTTTTGCCTGCTTTTGCGCACAAATAGATCCACCCAGCGAGTAGCAAATACTACGTTACCCCTTGATTGATATATGGGGAGGTAATGCTTCATAATGTTCAAGTAGGCCTATAGAAACAGAATTCAGCATTAGTGTAGGCCTATGACCTTTATTTGCGCTTGAAGCTTTCGACAAATTTCAAACATGCCCCTCCTTTGGAATGTTTAACTTGTTCTTTTTTATGGATTTGTGGCCTTGGGGGAATTTCTGCCAAACGGAATAAAGACTTTTTTACTTCCTGTAATTGACGTTGATTCGCAACTGGGAAATGGTTCACCGCATATCAGACAAAAGCTTCCACTCTATGAGCGCTTTCACAATTTCATCGGGAAAAAGTGCAGACATTATGTTCGGTTCTCTTCAATACAGGCAGTACGTGTGTCGTGCAGCAGTGTATTCAGGTTTTGGGCCAGGGTGCAAAATGGAGAAATGTTTTTCCTGAAAAAGTGGCCTTTTCATCTGATAAAAGTGGCCGCCGCAAAAGAAAAACAAATGGCAACATGTCACAGGGAAGGGGGAGGGGACGAGTTGCGCCTCCCCCTCCTTTATCTACTGGTGGCGCTACGTAGGCCTACTACCGTTGACAGTCATACCACTAATAGAAAATTCTTCAAAATAACAGAAACATATGTGAAGTCTTTGAATTCATTAAAAAAATACTACCCTTTCTGGACTTTAGGCCTATAAATATATAAAAACCTTTAATTACATGAGATTCTCAATCCGATGGTCTCAACCCGTCATCTTATCATAAGTTGCAAAGGATGTAAACCATTCATTGCATATTACGACCATAATGAACAGCCAGGTAATGCATAATATATAAAAGGTGTTATATTAGGATTTTTTTCCGAATACACGTTAAAATGCATACAGCATTTGTGGCCAGAAGTTGAAAGAAGCTTTTTTGGCTTTCAACGAGGGAATTTGTTTCAGCATCGTCATTTGCACATTTAATAGTACAGCGTACTCGTTAAGCTGTCTAAACAATGTGTGAAGAAATGGGCAACAAGGAACAACTTACCGCCTTTCTGAAGTTCAACTTTCCTCCACTCCTGTAGATGTGTCAGAGGTTGGCGACAGGACACGTTCGCACAGTGCTCTCAGTGCCAGACCCTACATACACAGAGAGCCAGCTGATCCTATACGGAGCTTCGGAGAGCTATTTATACTTGTCAACTTGTCAACTGCGCTCCAAAGCTGTGCTCATGTATACGCAAGCAGCGTGTCATGGCTGATTTCCAAGGGCCGACCGAGCAAGCTTCCAGCTGATTGGCTCAATTTGTGCCAGATCGCGGTAAAGGGCAAGACCTGAGGTTTTGATTGGCTGACGACAACTGACTGCGAAGCATAATGCATCTAATAAACGTTCTGTCTGAATAATATGGCGAACGCCTACACAGGTTTTATGACCGTTTTTGCCCCATTGCGCAAACTGGCAACTCAATCTGCAATTGCGAACACTATTTTATTCATAAACACTAATTCAACGCAAAAGTAGAATGCTCGCGTATGGTTCAATATTTTTCCGCTGCAATGATATAAATTTACGTTTTCCCAACTAACTGTCGATTCATTAATCTTGCACACAATGAAAGTACTACGATTGGAACGTGAACCCATGGGCATCTCGTGCCTATAGTATAGTCGGTCACGTCAAACACGCGTAATTCTCATGTGTTTATAAAAAACAAACACTTTTTAACATTTTCACCACCCTTTTTATCTGCAAACGTATTGAGGTGCAGCATATAAGATAAATGTGAAAATATGAAGCAGATTAGTGGAAGTAACTTAAAGGGAAATACAACATCTGCAAACATCGAAAAATAAAACTACCAAAACTACCGAAATACCTTACTGGGATGTTGGTAAATGACAGTCTAAAGCATCCTGTAAAATTAGGGCACCTGGTGTGAAGTCATTTTCAAGAAAAAAGTGGTCCTCTTGCATAATTTCCAACGGTGGTCGGCCGACCACCGTTGGAAAAACCTAACTGATTTTCAACTACTGCTCCAAATTTACCATTTTTTTTTCAGTCCAAATTTTGTTTGCTATTGGTACCATGTTCATGAACGGGTGCAGGCCAGCTAGACTGGTTCCCTTACCTTACAATTTTCCGGCATTTTTTATCCATTTCATCTTTAATGGAGTCAGGGAACCAGACTACTTGAACATTTTTGATTTTCTTGGTTTTTCCAGCATTTTCGAACACAAAACTTCAAACATGTCAGTGTAACAATATTTGATCAATTATACTAACCCCCCAAATAGTTCATTTCTGAATATTACAGCAAAAGCCAATGATGTACATTTCCTTTAATAAGTGTATATTCTACATGTAGCTGCAACTTGCTGAACATCGATTCGTAGCGGCCATCTTAGAGAGCAATACGGTTGTAGGGGGCCTACCACCGGAGTTGTTTGCAAGGTAAAGTCATTGACCGTAATACGCATGCGTGAAACATATCACATGAACAACTAAATATGAAAATAAATTCTTATATTCCAAGGTGGTCAGAGTGGTTTCGCTTTAGCGTGCGCTGCGTTAAATCGCTCGTCTGAATGCTGGAGGTTCCAGGTTCGGATCCTTCGAAGGAATTTTACAGTTTCATTTTTTTTTCATTTATGGCTTCAGTGGCCGATCTATACACTCGTCCAAAATCCCGAGTTCTACTGGTGCCTGACAGTTTTTCAGGACAAAATGACACTTTTCCAGGGTTATTTTGAACCGGAAAGTGTAATTTTGGGCCTGGCAAAGTGTCAGGCCCAATGGAAGTTGGAACCCTGCCCCAAAAAAGAAAGAAAGAAAAATCGTGCCAGAAAAAAGTACATATGCCTGCTAACCCCATCCCCTCTTGACAGCTAACCCCCCCCCCCCCTTTCCCGAGCCAAACCTGGATCCCTCTGGGGTCCAATTAATTTAGGATTCTTGCTTTTCTAGACTAGTCATTTTCTGCTAGGTGTTAATTCCTTTTACCCAGACGTTCGAGAGACTTTCCTAGGATTTCAGGACTGCAGATGACATGCATATTACGTATGGCTAACGACCCTAACCTACACTAAATATTTCATAACTTTGTGACAACTGAAAGGGAGAGGGAACTCAAACTGCATGCCGTTCGTGAACCGAGAAGGTTAAGCCTATTAACTGTGTTGTATTGACTACATTCAATTGTTGCCTGCATAATCCTTATCGACGCCATTCGTCAAACCGCAATTTTTTTTTATGGTATGACAAAGTCTAATTCATTGATGGAACTTTGGAACTCCAAGGCCAGGTAAATTTCCGGGCCATGGATTTACAGTTATTTATGTTCAAGGTGACACAGGGTGATATATTATGCAGCTTACAGGATTATGCAAGGTGGCATGTTAAAATATGATGATTGTTATTGGTGTTTACGAGTTCATGCAAGAGAAGTCATTGCTAATAAAAGATCTAAAGATCTAGATCAAAGATCTAGAGGCTTTTCACTCTCTCTAGGTGTATAGACTAGATTATAATTTTGGAATGTGTTTTTTTATGCGAAAATGAAACCGAGCGGGTTCCTAACGTACACCGTCATCTCTCTGCAGTTTTTCCCTACATGCAGTTGCATGTGCGGCAAAACTGCAGAGAGACGACAGTGAAGAAAACTTGTACTTTTAGTGTTGAGAGGAAAACAACGGAATGATATTGATTGCGGGCAGGATTGCAAACCTCGTTAGCCTGGGATGGACATGCCGACCTGGATTCGAACCCGGGCCACAGGAGGTGGAAGGGATATACACCACTGCGCCACTTCCCTTTCACGTACTCTAGGCTTTGACTGTTAATCAAAGAAGGACCTGACATTATTCATCCCGAAGTCTCGAGTCAAATGAGGGTTGGCCTATTTTCCTTCTCATTTCATTTCCCAAGTAAAATGAAAGCACTGGCGTGGAGTACCCCGATATTCCGATTGTTTTAAAAATCTAAGCTGGGGTATCCACAGGAGTTAGTAGGACCTATTGGCGTAATTTTCTTCGTATGTTTTAACCACTTTAATAAAGCAACAAACATGTACAGTTTTGTGTGAATGAATCCAGTCAACTTTCTCTCGCAAAGATGTGTTACAAAATATAGGCCTTGAATGAATAGGCATATATTTAAATAGGAAAAATAGAAGATAGCGGGTAACACAAAGTGGAAAGAAATCTCTTCTTGGAAGAAGTGTGGTTCTGAAAAGAACTGGTTGGTTGAGTGTCAACACACTTCTTCCAAGAAGAGATTTCTTTCCACACGGTGTTATCCGCAATTTTTCTATTGTATCTCATCGCCATGCAAAGCTTCAAGTCATTTGTATATTTAAATATGTTGGAAAAAAGTAGACACATTGACGACCGTTTCAGGTTGACATCAGTCTCCGCCTTATGACGTGCCCAACATAAGGTTACAGAAGATCGCTAATAGCGAATTCTTGAATACTAAAACATAGTATTTTATTTCAGGTCTTTGTGCTTTCGTAGTGTAAGAATGAAAAGGCTAAATTTTCAGACTTGTAATAAGTCGTATGACTCGTGACTCGGACTCGCACTCGAGTCACGGTGGCAAATGACTCGTGTCTCGGGCTCGACCTGCATGACTCGGGACTCGGACGAGGTGACTCGGACTCGATGTTTTGTGACTCGAATACAAGTTTGTCAATTTCCTCTCAACCTATCAAGTACACTGGTGCCAAACACGAGGTTAACACAAAAATCATAGCCAAAAAGATTTGATATATTTCTCATCAAGATATACTTCTCTACAGGCTATAATTATTACATTTAGTATAACCTATACCAAACATACCAAATAAATAAAACACTATATAAATATTATGTGTAGGGTATACGGTCAGTTGGAGGCAAATAAAACTACGGTGCGGCTTCCGGTGAACCCAACAACGGCCATCACGAGAGGGCGACATACACTATTCCTCAACTAGTAGTTCCTCATATCGTAACTTTGAGAATTTCTCTGTCACATTCTTCTCTGGTAATTGTCAATGAGGGAGATCCAAATTTTCAGGTCATGCAAACATTCTTTAAAAAAAATAAACTTGCCGGACACACATAGTTGTTTTCTGTTTAGATTCGTACAGAAAAGGAACCGTGGCCCAGACACTCGGTACTATTAAAATCCTCTCGTCGAGTATGTATCGGCCATCAACCTGTGCCTGCATACACGTTGAACTCGTCTCCCAGTTAATACCAAAGAGAGGTTTCACGAACTCGCGTTGCAGGAGTGAGATGACGTTTTACACATGCACGTATGTTTGAAGATAAATCATTGTCCAAAACTAAGCCAGCTTCCCGATGTTCCGATATGCATGGACACTGTGACCCTATGGGAAAGTCTGTCTGTCTACATGCTTCATACACACCGGGCGCGGTATCCTACAATATATCATCCAGCTCCGTTTGACAAACTGTGTGTGACGTTCCTGTGGATTCAGAAATAGGATGTTTTGTTCAATTTATTTATTTAATATAGGTTTTCCCGGCTATTTTAAAACATTTTTCGTTCGAATTCACCGTTTCTTATATTCAAACTCGTCCCTCAACATCGATTTAGTGCACTTCCAATGTTTAATTTCGTCTTTTGTCAGACAATTTCAAACTTAGTCAAAACAAAAGAAATCAAATGCGTCTGATGCCACACAATTTAAACATCGTTATGTTCAATTTCGTCATGCTTCATAGTGATATCTTTAAAGGCATATAGGCCTATGATAAGAATAAGTCTTTCTTTTCTTATTTCTTCATAAACGTGTCATTTATTTTCATTTTATCTTCTTAAAATTTAGACTTAATATTTTAGGCAAATTACACGGGGATTTATGGCTGTCACTTCTTTCGTGGCTTTTGACATTTCCTTTTTTCATTGTGAGAATTTTCTTTCCATTTATTCATTTTAAATAACGTTGTATTATTGATCTTTTATAATCTTTACTTTAAACTCTTCTTTGAGTTCAGTACTCTACTTTGGTCCGAAAAATCATGCGAGCAAATGTGCCAAATTGTGCTTGGGGACTCGAGGAAAATTCTACTTTATACAAGAGACTAATCTACTTTATACAAGTTTTAAATTGATTGATAAAAGACGAATATGATCTCTGAATGCTGCCAATCCGCAACAGCCCAAACGAATTTGATCTGTAATGACGAGTATTCTCGACCAGTGACTAAAGAGGGTGACTAAACTTAAAATGGAAGGGTAAATGACTAAATTGGTTTTGGTAAAAGCGTGTGAAATTTTTCTCTGAAAAGTGAATTCGAATTAAAAAAATGTTTTACAATAGACGGGTAAATCTATATTTGATTTATTTGAAATGTTATGCTCGAAATGTAACATCCCCTGGACCAGCTGCGGTTTTAGATCCCGTGACTGAAAAAGTGTACTGAAATAAAAAAAAAAACAACATTTTGTTCTTCATGCTTGTATAATACGTTTGCATATCCTCCTTTTAACAACAATTTCAATGAATACATTTGATTTATTGATCGAGAACTTACTCATTTAATAAACGTAATCGTCCTGGGGCTTTATGTTCAATCGTCCCCTTTTCTATTTATTTAATTTAAGTTAATTTGAGCCATAGTGCCTCAAGACTTACTTTTTTTTCAATTGAATGTCTTTAATTTGACAGCTGTGAATAAAATGAAGAAATTGTCAACACATTTTTAGAATGCTTGGGTGAATATATTTACCGAGCTCGTCAGCAGGTGGGCTACGTTGGACTTTCTGGTAGTCCTGGGCGAGATTGCCCGGGTGATGCCTCTTAACGAACAAAACGTAAAAGTAGGCACCGCAGATTCCGCCGGCTAGCGGCACGAAGGTAGAAACCAACCACCAGTGCGCTTTGTAAGGCCTAATTAAATTAATTTAAAAAAAAAAACTACAGATAAAGCTTTAAAATTTTGTGTTTTGTTTTCAATTGAAGGTGATTTGACAGAATAATTGAAGTATAACGTAAGTGAGTTTCCGAATTTTCGATCGAGTGCCAAAACTTTAGCAAAACGAATTGTCTGGTACGTTTCTGGTTCAAGAACCAAAATATGGGTATTCCGAACCCTGCGGCAATCTTATAGGGTTTTGGGTTCGAAATTTGGTTGGCTGACAATTATGTACTTTTAGGCAACCAAAAAGGCACAAAATAGGGTAGGTTGACAACCTTACATGTATAGGCGGCTGCCCTATATTCATTTGTTTGGAGCTTGTTTGGTCGTGTGCTGGTTTGTGCTTTTGGCGTGGGTTAAGATTGGCCGAGGTTTAATATTTGGTCTCACTTACATCCACACTTCGCTTCCGTAGCCGACCAGCCATGACAGGAACCTACCAGCCAAGTCCCTGGCTGGGTTCATGGGCGCCCCGGCGTTGTGTCCCCAGGCCAGGATGATCACGGCCACAGACAGACCCACAAAGAACGGCTCCATCCCTTTGGTCGGTTTGCCGTTTCTCTCGTCGAAAAACATCATCGTGCAGTGCAACAGGAGACCCGTGTTGAGTATCTGTCGGTAAAGAATGACCTCTTGAAATCAGATTCACAAACAGAACGATGATCGAGATAGGTATATTTAAGGTAAAGGAACTATTTCACATGACGAACAGAGTGGTACCGTACATCAATGATCAATGCTTTAAAAAGAAGTTTCTTCGAGCTTCACATCTTCAGGACGTAACTTCCTTGTAAGAACGACAAGGGGCAATTGGTCATACAATCAGCTGACAAAATCCCGAGATAGGCAGTTAAAAGATCACAAACGAATTTGACCAGCACATGCAATGCACTCACGACCTGCCCTGTCTGCTCATGCGCAACAGCGCTAGGAGTTCAATCGACCTGTGAATCCTTTAAACCCGACGTGGACGGCAGTATAATTTCTCCTATAGGCTATACCACCAGAAATTAGGACAACATGTTGTCGCTATGATGATCAATCATCCACCAACTAGATTGTCTACGCATCAGGAGTTACCTGTTCTACCAGCCCCACCCAGACACCGAGGTAAGGTTGTGGGTACGTGCAGAAAATGACCCCTGTTCCGGTCGGACCGAATACTGTCCGGTTCCCACCGTCCAGGTTTTCAATTGCAGCTGGGGGGAAAAGAGAAAAAGAAAAGCGGAGTCTAGAACTTTCAAGAAAGAAAATATAGCTTAGCCAAATGAACAGACCGCTTACACCGAGGGCAATCAACGTATACGTAACTACAGTGAGTGATCATGACACAGCCTGCTATCGGAGAGTGTTACTTCAGATCTGACACCTCTATTGGCGCATACCTATTTCCACAGTCTTTAATTGCGCCACGTTTACCCAAATAACTATACAAACAGGCATTCGAACGGGTTTTGTACCAATGGTGAATGAGATCTGTATATCAAAGTCGTACTCAAGTGTCTAATTATACATTTTTCATATTAAGCCTCCTCTCAGAATGTGATTTTAGATGCAAGGTTCGTATTGGGCCTAAGCGAAACTTTTTGCAGTCGCTGTTAATGCCATGGTTTTTTTCCTTCAAAATAACACTTAATGGGGTACGGTACTTGACCTGACTTTGAGCCAAAAGTGATTGAGAGCATCATTAACGTAATATTCAAGTTTTCTCACGGCGGTAGGTCACATCAATTTGTATGTCACGAAGAAAAGGGCACTGAAGGCATTATATCCCCCTATTTTAAGGGAATGGGTTGAACCTTACGGTAATATATTCCGAACACCACTGCTGCCGCGGCCAGTGCGCCTATCAGTTGGGCTGTAATCCACAGAGGAACCCTTCGCCAGGCAAACTTCCCCACTGACGCCAGGCCGATGGTAATAGATGGATTCACGTGACCTCCTGTACAAAACCAAGATAATCAGGACGACTTTCAATTTGAGGTCCACTTATAACGATATATCCATTATAATCACAGGCAAAACCGCAGTCGGCATTCAATTTTTTGGTTTTCGAAAAAGTCACAGACACCTACAGTAATCCTTACCAAAACGCGCATAAGTTGCACAGCATTACTGCTTTACATTTGCCGTCTATGTTTTGGTACCATTCGGAACGTTGCAAGTGAATCCAAAGCGTTATCAATCGATCACATAACCGTTTCAACACTTTAAAAATATTAAACTGCACACTTCACCCGTCACACGAAATTTGAAAATACCTGTAAACATGTAAACGTTGGAACTCGCTCCCTAAGTGAATCAGAAGGATTGAAAAAGCCTGTGAAATTCAGGCAAACGTTCATACATTATGTTCAAGTACGAGGTGTCAAGGTTCTAACTGAATCCTTCTTCTCAACTATATTTGCTCATAAAATATAGCATTTTCAATTTCCACATCATTTTACGAACATCCTTCTGTCTGTACGTCAGTCCCAATGTCCGTGCCTTTTTGTCGTAGCATTTTCAGTCGCACCTGATATCCCGATACTAGTGTAGATTCCAAAAGCCACGCCCATCCCTGTGGTAAGCGAAGTCGAGACGGGTGTTCCTGATGTCCAGCCGCTGACCACGCCTTGAGCTAGCCCACCATCCACGAATAACTTTACCATGAAAACAAGACGGAAGAATTACAATTGAGATCACGACCTGAACGTTGAAGGTATTTCCAATAAACCACAAAGGGAAACTAACTAGGTTCGTTATTATAATTTCCAAAGTTGAACAAAGAAGTTGCCTGGAGCAGGGTTTGAACCTGCGACCTCCGGATAACCTTTCCGGTGTTCTACCCTGAGGTTCATTTAACAATTTTGTAACAAAAAGTCGTATCCTCTTGGAGTGATCCTGTTTGCAACTTCCCGGGTTTGCCGCACTGCTGATGTTGCTAGCAATAGTAACTTTGGGCTTGCTCCCTGGCTACGTGGGTTTATGGCTTCTGACTAGCGCCCCTTGAACAAAGACATTGACAAATTGGGGAACCGCCAACAAAGGCTGGATGTAGAGCAACGGAAAGGCAATCCGGTCGCAGGTTCATACCCCGCACCTGATCAACTTTGAAAATTGGTTTTATTTAAGTTATATACACAGAAAAAAACGTGGATTATGAGAAGAAATGCAACGGTATACACTGTAATAAACTCGCAACAAAACATTTTCATCCGTATCGGCAGTCGGGATTCCTGAACTCTACCCCTGTGTAAGGGATACCATTTTAAAAAGAGGGAATTATTCGATATGTAACCCCGGGTAAAGTGAGAAAAAAATGGACGCACTTACGACTAAGATGAAAGTTCCCGCCATCTCGGCCAGCATGCCTCGAGCCAAGCTGTTTCTGACGACGATATCGCAGTGACTTGAGGCACCTCCCTTCATCGTGAAGATGTGCCAGACTTTTACCAAGGACAATGGTCTTTAGTGCGCGTTCCGATGGCATAAAACTGGCTACGTGGCATGGGTTTATGGCTCCTGACTAGCACCCCTTGAACTGGCCTAGCATGAGATATGGTGCAGAAGGTAGATTATAACTTTTGTTGTGTAGGCTAATCTATAAAAACGTTTAATTGTTATAGCAAGATCATGTTATGGGGTCAGCGACACTGACAAATCAGGGACTATAGAAGATCATTCCAGATGATGTTAACCGTGATGCACCAGACTATGATGATATGTCCGGATATCCAATTGAAACGAAATACAACTTTATACTGCTGCTCAAAGCAATCGTGCGTTATGTGCGTCACAGGTGCAAACAGCATGGTACCAAACATATGCAGAGTTATTTTAGTCACGGCAACTCAATGTAGCTGCTTTCAAGGACCAGTATTACGACCACGGTATAGCGAAACGGTTTGTCTGTGTTACCCTCCTATATGCAAAAATTATGTGCCAAGTAGTCCTTTCAGTCAAAATCAAACAAGCGACTGTTTTCAACAGTTATGAGCATTCTCAGTCTACACTGTTCAGGTTGTGAGTGATAAACCAGCTGTGATCACAACTTGCCTGCTTTGTCTGTTGACCGAGTTTGACTAGTCACAGTGCTTGTTTGACATAATTATGATTTGAATGCTGGTGACTATAGCCTTTGTTAAGAGTATAGCAGGGGGAGTGGATGGAAATTTTGACTGTCTGTGACTTTAAATAGCAGGAAGGTTAAAGAAAAAATTCATTTGAAAAAACAATAGCAAGCCTGATGTGAGGGTTCAAAAATAAATACATAAACAAATAACAAATAGATCAATCAATAAATAAAATTACCTTAAGCCTATTTAAGGGTGCAGGCCGCGCCTGCCAATCGACTCCCATAGACCCCAATGGTAACTACGCGTACTTCCAAAACAATATTAAAATACTCGCAACTCTTCAAGTCCATCGCCATTTAAAAATGGACGCCTACATACGCTCTATTGCAAAATCTCATCTAAATTTCACAGAAATGCGAGCTCGCAGTCCCCTGCACGGCTTATACCCTTCTTTTATAAACATCCTCAAGATCGATGGCCTTCAAAATGCTCTAATACCTGAGAATTTGAGGGCATATTTATTACGCCCGCGTAGGCAATTCTGAGCCTCTTTACAGATCTGCATCCGATATCCATAACATGAGCGCTGACGTGTTTACCTAGGAAACATGAGGCGGAAAGCCTGAATTAATGGTTCAACGCTTTAATTTGCGTCTGAATGAATAGCTGTTTTCATGGACTGACGTGAACCCGCGGCGTCCATGCAGGACAGGTTATCTTTTTGTTAAGAACTGAAAATATAAAAGTGCTTCTATAATAAAGACTATCTATACTGAGTCGCTGGTACATGTACTTCAGAAGTAGGCTTATTTACTTTTGGTGGAGCGTGTGAAGCCAGTGTATCACATAACAGTGATGAGACTCGAATAGGACAATGGTGGTACAATGCGACTAGATGTCTGCAAAATGGATTCGTGTGTTCATCCGACAACAGTGGGCTTCATCGAGTAATTTAAAATTATCATCCAACTGACCGGCCTTCTCTGAGGCTGTGAATACTTGTTCGTGGAAATTTGGCTAGCACTCTTTTTTCGTTGTTATTTGCATATGCCCTTTCGGTTGGGCATGCCATGGAGGATTCCTCCATGGGCATGCATTGCAAATAGTACAATAGCCTGCGTTGAAGCATTGCAAACAAATACGGGTATAGTGTGTCACTGTGAGTCGCTCCATTTTCAGACAACTGAAACACAAAACTGACATGTACAATTTGCGCTCATTGGGAATATCAGAGGCATTAACGCTTCGATATAACAAGACAGGGCAAGCAAACACCAATGCCAATGCATACCAGACGGACAGCACATCCTATACATAAGGATAAATCATACCTCCCTAGGGGATGTGCAATATCATGAACATTGGAGGATCAGGACTGTTAGGGTTAATGGCTGCTATATGAAAGACGGGTTCGATATCATCCTACTAAACAAAGCAGCTACACAAATTTGCATGAGCATATATAATAACGACCGGCAAATATCACCTGCCTAAATCTGAATTAAGACTGTGCACACACATAGACGGCCTTGACTTCGACCTTGACCACGGCTTGGGTCTATCGATCGGCCATTTGGGACTGCAAATTGGAAGATATTCAGATGCAGATGCCTTAATACGTCGAAATACACGGCATCTATAATACAAGTTACGACTGTATTTTGTTTGCATAATTATGACGGTTGTTATATAATGATAATTATGACGGTAAAAGATCCATGATATCAGTGGAATGATGATATTAGACGGCAGACATCATAAAATAAGATATTATCATTAAGGGAAAACATAAGCTGAATGAAACCTTTAGTAGGTGTCGACGCTCAACAGAATACATTTCAATAGCCGTCGTCAACTCACTGTTTGTCTATATAAGCCGATCCCTCTGCATCACCTCATATAAGCTGCGAGTTCAAACTCTGCATGGCCAAAATGAAGCACATCGTGTCCGGCTACGGTCAGACCATACTGGTCACTGCCTCTTGAAATAATTATCAAAAGTCCATCAAAACTGTCAATAACTCAGGTCCGGTTGCCTTCCCGAGTGATAATGCGAGTGATGATGCAATTTGTATGCACGGCACAAGCGATGATACAACGTGAGCCGGCGCCACAGTGTTTTGTTCCGCACAGTGTGCGCATCTTTCGTTGACCGTGAACCTGTCGTCATACCTGCGGCCAACCATGTAATCACAGACAGTGTGATATAGTACAGATTATGTATTAGCTGAACGAGTCGCCTTTGCAGCAATGACTTGAATTACATCATGGGAATTTTTTTTATCCAGCTGAGCTTGTTTACAGCAGATATTGAATAGCAACGTATTGCTCAGTCCTTAATATGGAGGGTATAATGAACTTCCAGGGTGGAAGCATAAAGCTGCAATGTGCTTTTTTGGAAGGGATTGCCTTGGTGGCTCAGTTCTGTTACAAATGCTATTGAGGGTAACTTTTATTAAGCTCTTGCAGGAGCTTCTACATGTCGCTTGTCACAAAAATAAGGCCCCATAAGTTTCCCACCAAATGTAACTACCAAAATTTCATTTAAAAAAACCAAATAAAATAAATTAAATATTTAACAAAAATTGTTTGTAACGTTATTGGGAAAGATTATGAAAAGTTTAAAAATGGAAGCAAAACATGACTTTGTGCAGTGTAATGTTATACAAACTGTAGTCAAGTGGTATTTATCACCCCCAAAAAAATACATCTTAGGCCAAAAAAAAAAAATATTCGGTCTCTGGTCAGACCAAAGTTCCGGAACTGACGCGGCGACGCGGTTTTTTTTTTTTTTTTTTTTCTTCAAGCTTGGATTGTACAGACAAGGTGGGGTACTATTTTGCTTTTTTTGATGTCCTCATGTACATTGGTGTCCTCCATAATTTGCCTTGGTGCTTTCGATCATTTGCCTTGGTGCAATTTCCCATTCCTTGGTGCTCTTTGGTAAAAAAAAAATGAGGAGGTGCGGAAATAGAGGGCGATGTTGGAGCTACCGCGGAACATTTTGGAAAAAAAAAAGAAGATCGACGCGCATGATTAAAATCGACACACGCGCTGACCAGAGACCGACTTATTATTTTTTTTTGGCCTTAGCTATGCTGTTATTATGTGCCATTTGGGCGTCGCATTTTTTCAGCTCTGAAAGGGATCATTTTGATAGATTTCATATAAGACTTCCATGCTAGACGGCCGGAGGTTATCGGTGCACTTGTTAAAGTAATGAATTGATGCAACTCATTTCAAGGTCACAATGTAACGGCAAAGATATGGTGTGGTTATTCCTGATCCATGCTGCTGGGCGGGGCTTTGTTTCCTCCAGCGGACTGTATTTGCTATTAATGTATGCCTTATGACAAAATATATAACAAGATAAAGAAATATGACCTCCGAACAAAAACGAGCGTCCCATCAAGTGTGTCTGGTATTTCGATGATTTTCTTTTTTTACCACCAAGAGGAAATGTTCTTGCCAAATTGTGGAGTCGCTCTGTAGACCTACACAGCGCACCTGCATAGGCCTATGGATGCAGACCAGCAAATATTAAGTATCTCCACTTCTCAAGATCAGGAAAAAATACTCAACACTCTTCAAGATCAAATTAAAGCTTATTTCATCATCTTTCATTTTCCGTTCAATATGCGGGTTTTAATCAGATGACTTTTGGGCGAAAAATCCATTCAAAAATGATCACCCCAAGGCTGCAGAACAGTAAATAAACTTCCATTGACCCCAATGATAAATGCTCCCACTTCAGAAATTCGGGAAAAATACTCACAGCTCTCGAAGGTGTTCGAAACACACATCAAATTAAAGCTCATCTCATCATCTTTCATTTTCTTTTCAATTTACCGTGGGTCAACTGATGACTTTTAGGAGAAATTTTCATCGGAAGATGATCACCCCTTAAAATAGTCCTGAAGCCCATCGCCATTTTAAAAAACGATGCCTACACTCCATTGTAAAATAGAGCGCTTTTAGGGCCCCAATTTCATCAAAATTGAACGGAACTACAAGCTCACAGTCCTGTGCACAGCTTCCATCCATATTTTTTACAAACCCTCTAGTTCACATGGCCCACAGTATGCTCAAAATACTAAAGATATTGAGGGCATGTAAATCGTGATTTGGCCGGCGTAGGCAATTTCGGACCGATTTACTGGTCTGCAACCCTAAAAGTTGTCGTGAAGCCCATCGCCATTTTGAAAAAGAATTCCTGTGTATGCTCCATTTTAAAATAGAGCAAATTTAGGACTTAATTTCATCCAAATTTCACAGCAAAACAATGTCGCAGTCCTGATCACGGCTTCCACGGACTTTTCTATTTTTTTTTTATATACAAACCCTCAAGTTCACGGCCCACAAAATTCTTTTATAGCATTGGCAGTTTTGGGTCTACTTACTGGCCTGCACCCGAACCCCTCACTGTCAAAATAGCTAGACGGTCCTGCACCGTTGGTGATAAACAGCGCCACCATGAGCAACTGACTCAGATGATGCAGGGAAACATTCAAGTCGCGGTCAAAAACACAAAACTGTACAGTGTGGTTATTAGAACATGAATTAACATTTCGATTTTGTGGAGTCCAAAAATGAACACTCTTGTGTAGATCAAATCTTGCACATCGACCTCAACACAAGCACAACAAAGTTTATTTAATAATATTGTCCTCTTAGTGTCAATAAGCCAAGCCTTAAAAGTTAAAAGTGAACGTCTATTTAGACATTAAAGATACAAAACCGATGGGTGGACTTGAGCATGTCTATGTTCCTGTGCCCACCACGTCTCGGCGCGAGTTCAGAGAGAGTGCGGTGATACTCGGAGCTGACCCGGGGATCACACAGCGCTGGTGGTGGTGTGTCATTGGGATATCACCCAGTGAAACCCGAAACATATGTCAAAGGAATATTTTCACGAGTATCATTTCCACTATCTACAAAACTGTGGTCACAGTGGTCCACGGTTGACACAACCCAGCGCTAACATCTGCACGAAGAACATCACATTCTGTACCCTTCATTCTCTGACCACTGGTTTGTGCTGTGACAGTTTATGGTTGTAACGACGCAAAAGGTTACTCCATTCACCAAAGTCTTCACACACTGATCGTAAGTTCTAAGACTGCTTCGCAAATCAAATGGACACATTGCAGCCGGACTAATAAGGCAACCTACTGCCACCTGACTATACTCTCAGGAAGGACACTGGACTGGAAAGCGTCGCTTGTGAATACAGACTACAATTTTTGGTACTCTACACGTGACCATCATTCGTAAGCCTAGCCTACAATCGCGTAACCCTAGTTCGTATCACTGCAGACCGCATGGTTGTGATTAAGACTTTGAGATAAACTTGAAACAAAGTAACTCTCCACCGGCAATTGGTGACAAGAAGAAATAAATTATTGTTTTGATTTTTTTCTTGAAGTCTCTCGCACGGCCCAACGATGAGACTGAGGACATTCGTCATATTCTTTCTGTGCTTAGGCCTACTGGTACTGGTTCAAATGGCAGATGGTAAAAAGAAGAGACGTAAGAAGCAAAAACCTAAGGTAAGTTACTGTACTTTTATATTTTACAATTATTACAGTGATACATGTGCAAAGTTTTTTGTTTATCTTGTCAGTTTTGCATTCCGACTCTTGATCAGGTTACATTATTAATTAACGATAACGCACTTTTATGGATTAGAAAGTTGGAAAAGTATGTTGTTTTTGTCAATATTTGCAAAATTGGGCTTAACCCTACGTTATTTATAGAGGCCATGAATAAAAATTTGGACCAGTATAAACTTTACATTAAAAATCCAGAACGGTGCGGGTTTAATTCTGTCAAGACAAGTAGTATAAGTATAAGAAAACAGCGTTGAACAACTGGATCAGGGAACGCGTTGGAGCCCAAAAAATCGGATTGACTAAAAGGGACAGCCGCACGCTCAACTGAAGAACCAAGATCACCAAAATCCACGCTGAAAAAAATAGAGAACTAGGTCATATCAACGATAAGGCAAGGCATATACAAACTCTTATACAGAGAAGTTCAGTTTCCGCGGGCAGGTCAAAACATGGACACTGTTGAGGGTTCGTTGGTAAAGCTTTTTACTATCGGAGTTCACCTGTGTTGCTCCTGTTATGCGTTGCCTCGGGTCGGTCTCAGTAGGAGAGCTTGGAGGGGGCACTCGCAGGGCTAGCCTCCACCGAGTTCCAGGTAATGACTAGGATGTCGGTCTTCCTCAGTTGGAATCGACCTTCAAAATGTAATTTTAGGGACAGGTGTATATGTATTTATCGACAGGTGCCGAATCAATCCACGCATGTTGTTAAAGACAGGTACGGCACAAATGGAGACCATTTGGTATTAAAGTGAGCAGACACGCTTATAGAGGTTTCGAAACACTTTTTTTCAGGAGCAAAATCCGCGAAGCTTAAGCAAAGTCCAGAAGACAGCCCCATTCCACGAACTCTGTTAAAACGATACTGAGAGGGAAATTATTGTTTTGGCAACTTGTCAGATTCGCCAAAATTCTTCACGACAGCCACAGCATATACTGGTTCTTCTTGTAAGATTTGGAACCTTTTTTGTACTAAATTATAAAAACCCACGATATCATAATGGTATATCCTATACCACAATATGCTTCATTGCAATAGTTGCGGAATGTATCGACTCCAACATTATACAACATACATAGGATGGCGGTTAATTAGATGAAGTAGTTTCTATTAAATTTAGTAGTGGCATTCGGCCGAAGCCATGGCATTAATCACAAGCCAGACGGAGTACATCCAGCACCATATGTGCGTAAAAGAACCGTGGACCAGCACCATATGTCGTAAAAGAACCGTGAACAAAATTGTATCATAGAGACACTATCTGTCGACCTTATTGCCCAACATGTATGTTATGTTATTCACGGCTCCAGAACGCTGATTTTACAAACCATCTCAAGATGATGAAAAAGCCTAAGGTTCATTCCACTCAAACGGTTATGTGATGGTTCCCAGCACGTCATCTTTAATGCCATCTTATAAGAAACCTTGCCTCGTAACCTTGCTTCCTCCAACACGCTGTCGTCGAACTGCGCTAAATTTGCTTTTCGTGCATGACAAACTACGCCTGCGTATAAGTTCATTTTGAAGAACATTCTTTACCAACTACTGTCCCAAATCATACCGAGATTGACCACAATCAGCGCTTTCGACCAGCCGATTCGATTATTCAATCGTGTGACAAACTCGAAGTGCAATAGACACCCACTGTCTACTTCCTCTGTCTGCACCATTTTCACGGCCAAGTGACATGAGTTAACCACCGAAACAAAATTTGAGGATGCCGCTGATCTGTGAAACGAGGCTGCCGCGGCCTTAAAAGGAAAGTGGGTATATAATCTGCAATAATTGTAGTTGTAAAGTTGTGCAACGACAATAGTAACATTTCCGTTCGTGGCCTAGTCATTGGTTGACCATGAACCCCCCTGGAGCTTTGACCTACTTGACGTGGCCTCCAGTAGTCTCCATGGCAACCCGTGGCAGTGTAATTATTTTGCACAGAGACTCATTTAATGGTTCAAGGTGGGCGAGGAAGGTCCTCTATAAGATTGGCGAAAGAAGTTTAAATCATCGTTGGGTACGTGTTGCTCAAAACCATTACAACAATGTATCAGATTCGATTCTTAAAGATACGAAATCATTGTGTTTCCTTTTAATGCCCAATTGATATTGTATGACCATTCATTTTAATCAAATGTTTACGATCTAACCATGGGTATCAGACTAGTTCACCTGCCGTCGCCTATAGGTAAATTTCGTTTGATATAAAACTGCCATCAATCAGTTAGGTGTGTTTTTTTAGGGAGCTCATTCTACACTTGCTTTAATGACCGGCGTTCAAAGTATCTTGAATGATTTTATCAAAAATTCACTGTCCATGTGTCAAATCCCGATATCCTCTCTACTACTTTCTCACATTTTGGAAGTAAAACCACGACTTATACCTCCTGAAAACAAGGCTGAGCAAATGAAGAAAAAGACAGGATCGAGGGCTGAAATGTTTACTTGAACCAATGAACCTGCACCTTTAAATACAATGATGAGCAGATGCAGCACAAGAGAAACACCACATCCACCTGCTGAGCAGAGTTTTTATTATTACAAGAATATTGGCAAGCCCAGTAAAGCTGGTCCTGGACCATTAGGTCTTAGGGGTCTAGGCAGTCATCCGAGTCAAACCTTGGGCCACGGTGAGGCTTTAGCAAATGTTAACTGCATAATTCAAATGAACCATGACGGTTAGGGTTTTAATCGCAAGTGACAGTCTGTAAGTTTACAAAAAGGACACTATAGGGCGGTCCATGGGACCAGCAAAAAAGTGCATGGAAATAGAAGCCACCGACATGCATTTGCATTACAAGCCGACTTTAGCATTCCCTCTCTCAGAATTCCTTCTTAATTTTCGGGTATCCATGGGGGGGAACACCTGTTTCCATGACATTAGCAGACCTAGAGGACGTGACCTTACTCAGGTCACCACCTCACATCTGTTCCATGCCCACGCTGCATATCTCGTGTGCATTGTTTCGAATCCGATTAAGACTTTCCCACCCCCTTTAAAACCAGATAATTTCTCCCGGTTAACAACGTCATCGTAAGCTTTCGGGGAAAGTGGCTGGTAGGTGGGAAAAACCGCCACGTGCACGAGGGTTACTCCCTCGGTCGCGCGCAAGCCCTGGGGTCGTTGTCTTGGGGTTCAGATGCCTTTTGATTACTCGTAAAAAAAGAAAAATGAATGACGTAATGGGGTCCAATTTGCAGGTGCGGGGGGGGGGGGGGGCTTTTTGGGGGAGAGGGGTTGGTGTGTTTATTTTATTGTGTGGGACTCATTAGGTTTGCAACAACAAAATGCTGATGTAATAATTGGAATGAATGTTATCGCCTGTAGACTGACAAGTGGTATATTGCAATGATTACATTATTTTAGAATCGACATTTTTAAATGTTCTTTTGAGTCATACCCATTCCTCGGATTGGAACACTTCGTTATTTTATCACAAAAGTTCCCAGACAGTTCAAAAATTGTTCCTTGGTTCTCTGACTAAGGGAAGAAGTACAAACGTTTACTGTAGTATACATTTGGTCTTCTACTGCTCCGTTTTTCTTTACGGACTAGATGATCGGATGATTTGGCGTTGTCTTTGTAATGAGGGCATGGTGAAACAATCATGAACGATTAATAGATTTAGGAAAGTGAGGGCATTCTCAAACAATGGAACAATAATTTCCGGAATGACGCGTAGGCCGGTGCCCACATCCAACGGGAAGCTGCGTATAAAGATCATCGATATCTCAATTAAATACACTGTATAATTTTCAATCAGTTGTCTCTTTTTACTCCCTTTTTCCCACAAGCCGACAACTCCAGCACCGACAACCACTAGGACAGCGCCCACAAGAACCCTCCCACCGGCATCAGAAACGCCCCCAAATGCCGGTGAATGATAGACATACCATTTTAGTTTACAATTATTTTGTATATTTTGTAACCGTTGGAATTATCAGTCAAGAAGTCACTAAGATGTTGAACGCAGTATGATCTGTCGTCTTACAAGTATGTCCAGTCAGGCGCGGTTGTAGAGCCAATATTTTGGGGGGCTACCAGGGTGGATCCAGATTTTTTTTTTCAGGGAGGCGTGCTGAATTGTAGACCGGTTTTTTTCCCGGACACTTGTTAGGCCTCCAAAAATCATTAGGTGGTGGTGGTGGTGGGAGGGGGGGGGGCTCGCTGATAAATTTATTTAGGGGGAGACCGTTCGCTAAAGAAATTTCTTTAATTTTGCTATAGTGCATTTTTTTATGGAATTTTTTTTTTTTTGGGGGGGCTAGACAACATTATGGGGGGGGGGGGGGGGGGGGGGGGCTAAAGCCCCCTAGCCCCCCGTAGATTCGCCACTGTGTCCAGTGTGTTTATAATGAAAAACAAAATTGAGATATTACTGACGGAAGATCCACACGCACAGGGCTGACATACACCTTTTGCCCATTTACCAATAAATACCCCACAATGTGGCTTGAATGGCCAGGTGAGACAATATACTCGCATAACTACAAAATGATTGAATCCGGCCAAACAGATAATACATGGCAAATTCTTTAGACACCCGTGCAGTCGCCTCAATCCAAATCCATTCGGTGAAGCGCTTAAATGTCGGTTTCCATTATTGTGTCGGCATAATTAGTCTATGCAGATATCAGTGATCACTCCTCTAAGTTATACCCAACAAAGTTTCACAAAAGCCATTGCTAACCAGAGATGAGCAAATCATCACAGAACCTTTTATCAGAGTTAAACGGTGACGAAGCTGGGACTATTGGAAAACATTGGGAAGACTTAAATTTGTACATGGCCCAAATCAGACTTGTCTACGCGGTGTTACCGAAGAGTGATCAAGAGTGTGTCCGACTGTGTCGGGCAAACAACCACAACATCTGAAAAGAGAGGCAACACAGAAAAAGACATGTAGGGGAATGGAAAAGGATGAAAAGACTTCCCTAGCTCTCTTGACCCACCCTCCGATTTGCTTCCCACCCCAAGTATTGCAAGTTTAATCACAATGTTAAACAACTGCAATTATCTTTTTTCCTCCTGCTTTAGCCGGTGCCTGCCGACGTTCATGCGAAAGGAACTCGTACCTTCTACAGGATCAGTGCGTTTGTGTCTGTGAGCATGGTTACGAGTACAGTTCGCGGACAGGCTATTGCGAAGGTAATGTACCAAAGAAAATGGCTCCTTGTTCGGTACATGGAAATGACTTTGACGGTTAGTCATAAAGATATCCACATTATTCACAATTCGGTAGATTTTTACCCACGACTTCATGTTTTACTCTGTACAGAGTTGTGTTTTGCTTTCTGCAGTATGCGGTAAGGAAAACGTATATTTGTTTTACAGTTACCGACCATCTTCTTTAATTTGAAAGGATACAAAACTACAAAAATTTGTGGAAGCATTAGAATAATTTCACTCTGGAAATATACTTTTATTTTATTTTTATATAACCCACATCGCTATTTACGAGTATTTACTACGTAAATCCTCTATGCAATATTCAGATTTCCTAATTAGGTGATTCATAAGTGGCTGATTGAAAAACAAAACAATAAAGAAGAACAAAATCGTTTTCACGCCCGAAAGGTCTACGTGAACCATCTTGGTTATCCATGTTATCTTCATGAAAACAAAATGACTGATAATGATAAATCTATAATTAGTATAATTTACATCGTATAGGCCAATTTCTTTTAATTCATGTTTACAGATATCGACGAATGTGCAGATGAATCAAACTGTGTTGGCGGGGCATGCACCAATAACATAGGTTCATATTACTGCATCTGCGCAGTTGGTTACAATCTCCATGCCAACGGGAAACTGTGCCAGACGGTACCAAAAGTCATGCGTAAGAATGAAGAATTTCTCAATTCTAAGAAACCACTTACAGATGCTGATGTACTCACATAGTAGATGTCACCCTGGGTTTTTTTACGCGGAAAGTTAAAGTAAACAGGTAGCCTAAATACCCTGTATCTTGGAGGTTCAGTGCATGAGTTATCGTCTGCTTTTGCTATTGAATAAACTGTATTCACGAGTCTGCCATAATAAATTGAAAGCAAGCTTAACTCCTCATTTTTGGAACTTGCGAGTAATATGAAAGCAATAAAAGTTCATTACAAATTAATACCAGTCTGCTCTGATGAACAATTTAGAACCTGTGATTAAACATACCCTAATGTTTAAAAAAAAAAAAAAAACGAAAGCCGAAAGCGAGGCTTGGAACGCACTCCAATTATAAACTAGTCTGGCACCATCCCATTCATAGTTTACAATTTATATAATTGATTCAGGGAACACGATCAAAATGGCTTCTTCGTGAATAAGGTCTATCGAAGAACAGAAATACTCTCCGAGATGCCTGCCATGCAAGTTGTCTTATACAAATAAGACTTGTTGTCATTCTTGGTTGAATTTAACACATACCTGGTACTTGGGCCTGTAGTGGTAGCAACTAGAGATGTGGTCCAAATTGCAACCTTGACGAAATACCTGTACTCCGATTTCATGTTGTGTCGGGTGATACCGCCCAGAAAACCTATTGGAACAAATAAAATCCACTAATGAAGACCACGCTTCATTCGCAGAACATTAATAACAACATACGCCATTTTACGCGTGCCCCAAAGCTTAACCCTGTATTGAAACAACTGAGAACTTGCTGACAATTAAACTCGCATTCGTTGAAGACGTAACACAAAGCCTTCGTGAAGAAACTCACAACAGTGACGCGTTGAAAATGACTCTCGTTCGTCGGTATTTGCAACTGGCGTGGATGTTGCACGTGTAGCTCTGCCGAACATTTGACCAATCAGCATCGCAGAAACCACCTGCTCATGCAACGAGCGCGCGACGCAGTTCTGGCCGGCTTTCAAAGATAATTCAGAATAGCTGAGATCTATTCAGCACAGAATGCGGCCACTCTTTGTTTGGCATAACATTACAATGCAATGCAATGCACTGCGATACGTGTGATTCAATTCCTCTAGACTGTCCTAAACAAAACGTTGCTTTGTACCTTTAGCGACCAAAAAAAAAACCTCATGGGTATTTCGTTGACGTTAAGTTTTGCATTTTTGGTATAACGGCGTCCCATTTCAAGTCAGTAAGTTTATCAACTTTGGACTAATTTATATCAAATGGGCCTATGGGGTTTACTATTTAGATTGTTTTTAGGGAATACGTATCACTCAATGATACGGATCAAAATATATTAACATTTGAACACGGCTCTCTTAAAACAAATGAAGCTACTAAATTGAAGTTGATTAAGGATCACTTTAGGTATCGTATGTAATCAAATCAATTAGTTGTTTTAACTATAATGGTCGATATACCATTTTTAAAAGAAATATTCGAACTTGAAAAAAAAATAGGTGAACTAGGTTTAAAAGAAATCTAAATCAGGCCTACATGAAATTTTTTTTAAGACTGATTAATGCGAAAAAAGAAAATATTTTGTGTTTGGCTTTTATTTTTGAGTTCTAGAATTTCATTAATACTTTACGTGAATTACGTCGTTTTTTCACGTTACAGTCTAGCCAACATGGTAAGGCTTAAACACTAATAAGTCAAACTGATTTATGAATAACAATAAGGAACAGGTTCGCAAGAATTCGCAAATGTTTTTTTTTTCACTCCACTACTTTTTTTGGAAGCAACTGCAAATTGAGAATCCATATTTTCTACTGAATTCCCCACATACCGGATCTGATTATACGGGTGTGACTTTCTGTTCTTTATATACCCAGCGTGCCGTGGTTTGGTCTGTTTTGGCGAGGCTGAACTTGATGGGTTACGGTGTCAATGCTGGTGCAGCGATCCAGGGCTAAAGTACGATTACTTCGCGGAAAAATGTCAAGGTAAGATATGCAGCCAGAACATATACCAAACATTTACAAAAAGATTTTAAGTCAATAGTTTTACTTTAAGATGCACGCTCCGTGCTCTTCAAATATGATTTTTTTGTCTCCTAACAAATTTTGTTTTCAATTTGTATGCTATATTTTAACAAAAAACTACTATATTCCGATTTTGGGCGTCTACAGCCCTCTGAAAAAGGATTTGCATTTTGCGCACAAATAAACCTGCTCTGCGAGAGCCGAATTATTGTCCGACAGCCAAATAATTCCATTTTTGTGGAGAAACAATTCAATAACTAAATGTAGGTGGATTTTATTAACTACGCTTGGTAACAGCATGGAGTATTGCGCTGTCGTCAACCTGTTATATTTTTTAAATAGTCTATACAGTATAACCATATCTTCTTGACTTCATGACGTAAAACCCCGCACACATTTTTATCGCAACGCAACCCTGATGTTGTTTACCGTTTGTGACATAAAGGCATTAGTAACGCTCAACTGGAATCACAACCTAAGTAAAGCGTACAGAACGTGATCTGTTAGAGTCTTCATATCAAGCTTAAAAAATTACTACGTCACAAGTGCTAGTTTCAAGGCCGTTTTACGAATAAACCATACTCCATGACCATTCCGAGTAACATAGGCTACATCACACTGTTTACACGACATATGGAGATTCAACCAAATCTGGAAATGAATCCGTTGGAATACAGGTGCTCTTAACATTGGTGCTTTGCGATTGGCACAGGCATGCACTCACTCACACACAAAAATTGACCCGTGATGAACCTTGATCTTAAAGCGTAAAGTAAAACGCCACAGCAACAATCTGTTTAAGTCAGCATAATCGTCACCGATGGGGTGGTGCACTGAAAGATGTGAAAATCAATTGCAAAATGTGATTTGTATTGCTGTGTAAGTTCATTTTGACAATTATCACTGTCATTATTTTGCATCCGGTACTTCCAAATACCTCATAAGAACTCTGTAGAGTCTTTTCACATTTGCCCATGTCTTCTTAAGTATTGACAACAAATCTAGACAGTTTAGAATATTGTGTAACAATTAAGATATACATATTAACGTTTTCATCACTGAAATAGTTGTTCGCCCAATCTGGAAGAGAATGATATTGTGTAATTATTTATTTCTGGTAATGAAACCATGCGAGGATTCTCAAAAGCTTGTAGCTCACAAGCCTGAATAAACTTGTAGGGAGAAGAAAATGAGAAGAAATTACAGTTTTAGAGGTGGGAGAAAAACTCCAGAAGATTATTCTGGGGAAAACCCACTCGAGCGGGGACTGAAAAGCCAATCCACATGTTGGCACAGGCGGGTTACAGCGGTGGATGGCGAGAAAAGTACCAACCTGACACCCCTTTGAATGCATGAAGGAAGAGTTCCCGAACCCATTTACGAAAGAAAAAAAAACTGGTCACGATTACTAAAATACACGAATGCCATAAATATACTTACCCAGCCCCAACTTTTCCAATCAGTTGCACATGTGCAATGACACGGCCCGGCTAAACATTATGTTTTTCTTTTCTTTTTTCTTTACTTGTTCTCATAAAGACATCAATGAATGTGCCTTGGGTACACATGACTGCGAGCAGGGATGCATCAACACAGAAGGCAGTTTCTTGTGCTACTGCTTCCGAGACTTCTCCCTCGACACAGACGAGACTTCATGTTCCCCCTCCCCGGCACCGGATCCTAGCAACACGAGTAAGCTTTTTTTCATATGACATACTGGGGGTATTCAGATGTGATACAAATTTATGTGGGGTGGATTGAGGTGGCTAAGTAAACCACCCATAAACTTAGCCTGCTGGATCGGCATTACATGTGGTTTAAACATCAAAACGTGGTTTATTTCTGATTTTTTTTTGTAGTGTGCTTTGGGAAATGCCCGGGATCGTCAGGGCTCAACCTTTTGAATTGCAACTGCATGTGCGACAGAGGCTTTGTTTACAGCGAGGAGGAACAGGCTTGCATAGGTGAGAGAAAAATAAACATTTAAAGAACCCTTGTGCTAAAAGGTGACAAAACAAAATGTTGCAATTATTCCAAAATAATTTGTAGCGGTATAATTATGAGGGAACCTAAGAAAGTCTGCTCATACAGATAATTACTTCTTTTCAGATATTTTTTACTCAAAACCTAATTTCAATCCTACTCGAGATACAGTGGCAATTAAAACGTGTTGCACTTTTGAGGGCTGATGTGTTTCTAAGAGATACACATGGTGACAAAAGGATCCCAATATTTACATTGAAAGAAACGCATATTTTTCAATCGGATAGGCCTCAGTTTTGTTTCAGAAGAGGAATACCATAACATTAGTCTAGGAATACCTAATACAATGTATCGTTCTTGACATCTTTATACATATATTGTTTCTCATTGGTTCAAATCAGAAAGATATATCTAACAAGCGATCACTTACTTTTACATGTTTATGTGTGTTTATGTAGACAGAAATGAATGCAGAGAGTATCTGGGCTGGTGTCAGGGAGTCTGTGAGAATGAACTGGGTTCCTACACGTGCACGTGTCCACAAGGAACAGTGCTAGACGCTGACGGATGGGCGTGCAATGAACCCGTCACTCAAACAGGTAAGAAACAGGCACCAATTTCACGAGTTTTGGTACTCAGTAAGAATCATCTGGGAAACAGTCCAAGGGAGTGTACATCACACGACATTTTGGCTGCTGACCGGTCTTTCTTTAGCAAATTATTTCTATGTTTAGAAAATTCCTGAGCTTAGAACTCCATGAAATTGTCCCCAGACCTTGTGCTCAAAGTCTTGAGTGTTATATTCCATATGCCGTTTTCGTGCTGTGAGCGTGTTGGCGACTTAGACATGGCAGAGTGACAGACAATGATACAGTGGCGGCACATAGATAAATAGTGACGGCAACGAGGCCCATGAACGTAAAACTTCATGGGGCCCTTGAGCGATCTCCGGAATGCATGCTCACATCCTGCAGCTACGACACATTTTCTCCATGCCTTAATTTTATCCTGGCTAAAACCTGCAGCGATGCAGCGATGGTTCGGTGACGACACTAGTAACAGTAGTATAATTGATATCATCAATATTAAATGACAAACAAGTGAAAATCGCAATTAAATATTACAAATGAATTCAGTAAAGCCCTCCTGCTGTCTGAACATTCACAGACAGTCAACAAAATCATTCCTATTCCCCTGATATGACTTATACCAACAGTCATATCATATTTCAAGCAAGCACTGTAAATTCAGTCAACAGAAAAAAAACAGGCAAGTGATAGGCACAGCTTGCTTATCAATCACATACAGTCAAAGCATAGCTGTATCAAGTTACATAAGCAGTCACAGCCAGTCAATCCTGCTTTGTGTAGGCTGGGAGCTCTGAACTGTTAACAGTCACTTGACTGATTTTAAGTGAGAGGACAACTTGGCACAGAATGTATGTTTGCATAGGAGGGTTTACACAGTTTTTAACCAAAACAAAATGATTTGAAACCAGGTACCTTTTTTTTTACATTCTGTAGAAGAATTTCAGTGTCTTGATTATGAAGTCCTGTGCGATCATGGTAGCCAGTGTGTACACGAAGGCGTTATCTGTGATGGATACAATGACTGTGGGGATGGATCCGATGAAAAACTATGTAAGTGCTAATAAATCCACCAAAAACAAAACGTTTGAAAAGAGCATGCAGAGTGAAATATCAGTTGAACATTAAAGAAACTGAAAGAAGCATCTACATAAGAGTGTTAGAACTTTCGCTTTAGAATGATTATTGTGATATTGGAAATTGTATATACCTGAACTGGCCTCACTCCGTAGTCATATTTAGCAAGGAACATTTTGTCCTGGGAAATAAACCACTGAGGTGGTGTTTTCTTTAACACCTCCCTGCTCAATCAACCAAATCCAATCAAATATAAATTAAACTAATCTAACCCAACCCAACCAAAACAAACCTGACCAAATGTAACCCAACCAACCCTACTCAACCCACCAAAGCATACCAACCAAAGCTAACTAACTCAACCAAAACCAATCGACCCAAGTACACAACCCCACACGATCTAATCCAACACAACCTAGCCATACCCATCCCAATCTAAGCCACCCGAACCCAAATCCAACGATTCCAACCCACCCGAACCAACCCACCCCACCCGACCCCGACCCCGACCCAACCCAACCCAACCCCAACCCACCCCACCCCACCCACCCCACCCCACCCCAACCCAACCCAACCCAACCCAACCCAACCCAACCCAACCCAACCCAACCCAACCCAACCCAACCCAACCCAACCCAACCCAACCCAACCCAACCCAACCCAACCCAACCCAACCCAACCCAGCCCAACCAATCCCTGTTTTAATGTTCAGATTCTTGTTTCTCCCCCAGGCAAGCCAGTGTGTCGTCCCGACCAGTTTTCCTGCCCTAATGGACGCGCTTGTCTCGAGGAAGCGCTGAGATGCAACGGAGAAAACGACTGCCTGGATTACTCGGATGAACTGGATTGCCGTAAGTTTGCCGTAAACCATTCAAAAATACAATTTCAAGTCAAAACGGAGTCGTCAGGACTCTGGATGCATTCAAAAGAATCCGTGTAAATGATTCCCGACAACAGAGGAGTTTTCCATGTTCCGACAATGTTTCACATGCTGGAACCCATGCAGGCTGGGCAAGTAAGTGTGTATTTGGGAAACAATGAAATCTTTTTGTGGGAACCATTTGCAAAATATGCCCCTGAAAGTAGAAATGTTGCAGTTCCTCTGCAGTATACGACTCCTTTCATTTCTTGCTTATTTCCTAAGAATGAAAATTATTCTGTCATCTAAGTACATTATCAGTGGTTTATCAGAACACGGAGAAAATACAGCTCTAGTTCTGAAATTGTCTGTTGATACTTTCAATCTGTTACTCTGATAAACAGCTCCTTTTCCTTTCTTCAGCTTGCCAGGACGACCAAGATGAATGTCGCGCCTGGTCAAATCGAGGCGAGTGTGAAACCAATCCTGGATGGATGAACTGGAACTGTCGAGACAGCTGCAAAACCTGCTTAAATGACGACGGCACAGGTGCAAATCTTAGCCGAGATATTTTTAAGACCTGTCCTCAAACCATCAGCCAGTATTTCCCCGCTAACAAATATCTGTTTCTAGCTAACCCCACCAAAAAATCTCTCGATAAAACTACCCCGTTGACTTGTTCGTTTCAGAAAGTGGCGAAGTAGAGGAGAATGAGCTTCCGATGTTATTTTTCCTGCGAAATTCGGAAGACTTTGGTAAGAGATCAGGGGTAGACCTAGTTTGTATATTTATCAAAATTATGATTTGATAAATTAGATTTGGTAAATTGTTTTGTTTTACTCAACATTGTGGTATGTACCAATAATTATGTATGAATATTTTGATAAAATGACTTGACTCGTCTTTAAATAGATTTTCTTGTCTGGTGGTCTCAAACTACACAGCTCATCATAATTCATATTATTTTACGGATCGACCTCTAACAAAGTCATATTTAACTGTCTTTGTTTAAATCTATTTCATTGGATAAACAATAATAATGACGTACATTTCAGTTTCATCTTCAAGTTTGTTGGCTGAATGCCAGTCGCTATAGGCCTAAAAACTCCAGAGGGGAAAATCGGAATGTCCTAGCTCCTTTTCAAAGGATTCTAACAAAAACTATTTTGTTTGCTCGTAGCTTCGATCTTACAGTACACTCTCCGTAACATTGGGACCCGTGAGGAGGGATCGGGAAGCCGATGGCGCTGCTACACGATCACCGAAGTCCCCGCGGATGTCCGGGAAGAATTCCGACTGAGCTACGCCTACAGGAAGTACGTCCAGGCCTACAACATCCCAATTCTGGGCACGGAGCGAACCAACGAGGAGGCCATGAGGAGGGCCTGTTATATGGTCAGGTTCCTGCTGGCTGACAGGAGGGATATCAGAGAGGCTATTTACCGAGCCTGGGGACGGATAGCAGTCATGGGTGAAGACGAAGTAACGGTGATGATCCCTGAGCACTCCCACCTGCCGGAGGTGTACAACTCCGTGCGCGGGCTTGGCGGCACGCTCCACATCCCCGTGGCCTCGGGGGCCGCGGAGAATCTACTCTGCTTGAATAACGACCCCAACAGCCTCCAGGACATGTTCGTGCACGTCATGGCACAGACCATCAGAAGAGTGTCCATCACCACTATGACAATAAGCTACAACTCAAGACTAATGGGGGCCTACGTTAACGCCAGAAAGACCGGCCTTTGGGCGAACACCAGGGCACAGTACACGGTGGATGAGTACTTCGCTTACGGAGTCATGAGCTTCTTCGACGTGAGCGCTGACACCGAGATTGATTCCCGGGAGAAGTTACAGCGATACGATCCCGCGCTGTACAACTTAGTCAAGGAAGTCTTCCCTTGTATGAACACCATTGTAGATCGCTGCGATCCCGACAAAAGTAAGTGTCTTGAACGAAGTTATTTAATAAGCCCCAAGTCCTAAGGTTTTTGTTGTCTGAGTCGTGTTTCAAATGTACAAATGCAAAATGTAAGACCCCCTTTACACAGGGCTGCGACTTTTGGGCCTCCCTTGTGCGACCATAAAACTGGCCATGTCGCCGTTGGAGGCTCAAAGGAGGCCGAAATGGTTGCCTGGGTCGTTCAAAGGTGGTACACAGGATGTTCAGACATCGCCATGGACGCCATGGTCGCCGTAAATTTTTGAACATGTTCAAAACAGTCGCACAAAGGTCGCCGAGGAGGTTGGTTGCTCAAAGGTGGCTCAAATGAGGCAGAAGGGAGGCACAAGCATTGCCGTGGTTGCAGAATGGATGCACAACGGTCGGCCAATGGTCGCCACGTAATCTATCCGTTCTGTTGCAAATTTTACCGTCAATCTGGGCGATGCTTCTGCCCGGCCCTTGTGCCTCAAGGGTCGCCTAGGAGGCAGAAGCATGGCCGAATGGTCGCCCAATGATCGCCGTTAGTTGCCGTTGGTCGCCGATGATGGCACAGAGGAGGCACAGGGGAGGCTCAATGGTTGCCCAAACATTGCTCGGGGTCGCCTATGTTGCCTATAATCGCGTTGGTTGCCGTAGGTTGCACAGTGGAAGCACATGGGAGGCAAGCAAGTGGCTCAGTGGACGCACAGGTCGCTCGTAGCTAGACATGGAAATGCCCGAAAATTGCAGTTTTGGTGGTTCAAGGGAGGCACAAGGATCGCTGCAGGAGCAGTTACGTAGAAACAGGATTGTCCGGGTTCAGGCGACCATTTAGCGTCCTGGCCATTTTGTGGTTGCTCATAGGTGGTACATAGCGTAGCTGAAGGCCGCGGCCTTACAAAGAATCCATACCGGATCAAGTCCCTGTTTGCATCAACAAGAGGTTACTTATAATAATTGATAATTTTAATATTCTTTACTTTTTTCCCAATATTGTACGTTTTTCTACACTTTCATAATGAGGTAACAATACTTTTAACATCAGATGTGCATATCCTTTTGCCAATAGGTAAAACTTACTCGGAACAGATCAGAATGAACTGCAACGAGGGTGAACCAGGTATTTAAAAAAATAGTGATATTTTCAACCCAAAAGCCCACAAAAATCGAGTATGGACTTAACAAAATAATGCGTGATTGATTCACAAATTTCACGACACGCAGCATACAGATAAGGTTGATAAAGTTACGAAGACTGGCGTCTTATGAAATGGTAGAGTTTGATGATGTCCCTGCCAGATTAAATGCTTCAAAAGCACGTGGTTTTGCAGTTAAATACTAATGATGAATTCATCTAATAACAATGTAGGTTTAGATTAAAGTTGTAAGCGATTTTTTTCTTTTGCGAGTTTTATTTTTAATACCATGACAAAATTCGTGTTGCCTTTGTTTGAATGATTCCTTTGCACTCCCCCCCCCCCCAATATCAAAATGCTATCAAGATCAACATTAAGACAGTGATTAAATTGGTCCCGTTTCTCTATTTTTTTTTTAGATCGCGAGCTGGATCCAGATACGATGGGAGAGGAAGGTAAAGCCATTTATTTTTTACAACAGACGCAATTAATGTTTAAAGAGGTTCAACTTTTTTTTTGTAATTCACTAAAAGTTCAGGGTTTACACACGTGACTTTATGTGATAATGATGAAATGTCATTATGGCAATATACCAGTTGCTGTATCCGATAATAATCAAGTAAATTTTACATGCTTCGTTTTACCTCTTCCTCTTGTAACATAAAGCTCGCGCCAGGTGAACAAATAGTAAATCCATTCTTTATTTAAATTTTAACCCCCAACTTAGTTTTGATGCAAATTCCATTGAATTCTAACTAGGCTGTGGCTTCGCCGGAGCCCGGTCCTCACAAAAAAATGACCATAGTGCGAACGTCTTCTCACGGCCATGGCTAAAGGTCGCGTCCGAATTACGTGGCTGCGGCTTTCCCTTTCCTTATCCTGCCTCAATGCAGCTACACATGAACCTATGGTAGCGGCTGAAACCATTTCCACGTATATCACTGTCGGCCGCAGTCGAGTAACTCGGATGTGGCATGATGCGTCTGCGGCTTGGGCAGAAAAGAAATACCGTTTTTTTTTAGTTTTGGCAAGTTGAACTTATAGTATTGGAGGACTCCGACATCGAGGGCCAGCTGCAGCTTGGTTGGTTAGTAAGTCCTGATTCGGGGGTTAATCGTGTTCAATCAAAGCTTGATCAAGCTGATCTTATTCCTCCAGTGTGCAGAAATATGCACCACGAATGTCCCCAATGGAAGACTGAGGGTGGATGCGAGAACAACGCGGGCTGGATGAGCGACCACTGCCCCATATCGTGCGGAACTTGCCCCGAGCCGAAAGAGGAGACTGTTGACGGTATTTCAATTTCAAAGATCTGAGTATCGGTTGCTGTGTTGCAGTTTTGTAGGGGAAACGGAAATATGTGTGAATGTTTGGATCAGTAGGGCGAGGAAGTACAGAGTTGAGGGTTTGAAATGTGAAACAATTATGTTACAATTAGGCAGGAGAACCAAAATACGGGTGATGGTTGGAAATAGATAGCAAGGAGGGTTTTGCTGAAGAAGGGTTCTAAACGTTAAGTATGTAAGCCGTGAAAGAATGTTGCATGACCACGAGATAAAGAATTTGAGAGAAAGATAGCAGACCAAAGAAACAAGAACGATTATTTTCATCTTAAGTTAGAGAAAACGAAATTTTAAATATAAAGGACCCAAATCTCCAACATAATTCGAGTAAGCCTAAGGAAAAAAATAATACGACTAACATATTCTTTTAAAGAATTAGATACAAAAACGTACAAAGGAAGAAGTCACGAGATCAAGTGTGTGTTGAAAGACATATGGTTGAAGCCAGAATGAGGTGGTTGGCGAGAAGTCTGAATTAAAAAAAAGAGAAAGTTGATAAGTTGACTTGCTCAAAATACCGAGACTAAGCTAGATATAGCAAGCTTGAAGAAAACATAAATTATATTAAGTAGCCAAGTTTTACTTTTGGACAGTTTAACGGTCCCGACCACGACAAAGAACTGACGGACTGACGACAACCATTTTAACGGAGTAATGTGCCACGACCTCCACCGAATCCCACCTTTCAAACCTTTTCCCCTCCCGTTCTCCCTTTTTTTTTTAGCATGTCTGCATGGAACATTAACTCTGCATGGTTGTGTAAACGCTTGATTCTAATAACAGACTGTTTGTAACATTTTGCACTAAAGAAAACCACTGGGATGTTGTTATTTTGCTAGCTTGTATCAAGCAGGATCATTCGTCTTGAGACATTTGATAATTGTTCATGATTTCATGATATATCCCTTGCTGATTTCCGATTATAACGATCTCCGATGATTTGTCCACAAGACAGACAGACAAAGAGTACATGGAATAACCAGTTTGATTCTTGTCTCAGTATCCTAAAGGGCTTCCTTCCTATAAGTCAATTCTGATCCAGTTACGGCTAAAATGATAGGTAGAAAAGGTTTTAAAGGCTGCATATTTATTTCCGTACATTTTATGAAAAAAAAAAGATACTGTTGATTACATGCTTTCATTTATATCTTAATTTGCATTTCCCGTGCATCTTTATTAGTGTGTACCACTGGATTGAGAGGAGATAAATGTGGAAATCCGGTTTTATAAATGGGAGGAAAAAAACCTGGAAAGCAATAGTCTGGGTAAAGCACATGCACTGGAAGAAACCAAATCATAATAATGCCGAAGTAGGAGTCGAACCACGGACAAGGAAAGCACTACTCCAACTTGGTATCCAAACTACGGACAATGCCAGACACTTTTATTTTCATTTGTTTTATGAAAATACTTTTGTGTTCCTTTTCTTGGCAGCATTTCCTTTTCAGATATTTCATTTATTCTTTTGCTCTTGTCCGTTATTTTTGAATCACTGCAATTGACCACACACTGTGACCAGTAGTAATCCCTTCTAGGCCCCAATGAATAATACAACCTTAAATTGCCCAGAACTGTCAGCGTGTCGAGACACCGACGAGCAATGCCAAACATGGGTCCAGGAAGGGCGGTGCGACAGCCACGATGGATGGATGGAGCTTTTCTGCGAGAAGAGCTGCAATATGTGCAGAGGTAAAACAAAAACTTGCCCTATCTCACCAAAATGGCCGAAGGGTTGTAAACATGAGGACCTTTGAAGGGTTGGGAGCATGGAGGTGAAACCTGAGGCATTTTAATAGCTTTTTAGTAGATCAAAAATAAGAATTTTCACCTGTGGGAGGTTGACCAATGTAGAGACAGGACTTCAGCGGGGAGGATGGTGGGGATTAAACTTCTCCCTTGATAAAACCCAGCGAGCTATAAAAAATGTTTGAAACATTTTGCCAGTTGCACGAATTCCAACCTTATATATAGAGGAGGCCTTGGTGTAGCCCACGGCCTGCTTGAAGTTGAGGATTCTTTGGCAAGAGTGGTGTTGTTGAGAGTGTTCCAATTTCAAAACTGATGCAACATCTGAAGTTTAGTCTGAAGTTCTTTTTGCCTTAAATAATATGCAAGTTCCTGTGGATACTCAGTTTATTTATTATTTTAACTGGGTAGCCCATTCAGTGGAATCCACTGGACTCCCATGGGGACCAGTAAAGTGAAGACAATATGAAGCAATTATAATTTTATACTTGGAAGGAAAACCCAAGAAGAATATTTTAAGGAAAACCCACGGAAACTCAATTCACATAATGGCCCAGGCAGAAATCAAACCCGGGTCACAGCCGTGGAAGGCGAGGAAAGTACCGATACGTCAACCTGACTCCCCTCGGTAGGGATAACATATAGGCCTACTGATGATGAGGACAGCCTCTTTTTCAGCTTAACTCTGGATAATTTCTTTCCCAGATAAACAAGGGATAGACATACAACAGGAGGATGAGGAACAAACTCCGCCACCCTCTGATGGAGATGTTGTTGTTGTTGTTGATGATAATGAGGAAGATGTGGATGATGGTGACGATGACGATGATGATGATGATGATGATGTGCAGTGTGTCGATGGCCACTTTCTTTGTGACATCAATGCTGAGGCAGGGGAGTGCATCACCAATGAATCATGGATGCGGGAACACTGTCCTTTAAGCTGCCATTTCTGTACAGGTAAATGATTAAGTACCATAACTGCAACCCGTAGCCTAGACAAAAATCAAATTCAATGCACTACCCCTCAGAGGGGTTGGGATTTTTCTCCTGACCTGCAGGTAATTATCATGGTCAAATCTTTAAACGATAAAACGCTAGACCAACAGATCTTATTCAACACAAATAAATCTATATTGTGCCTTTGAAAAATGAAAGGCCTTAAGCTGAAATTAGTAAACAATAAAATTGGTCAATATGTTTTCCAGAGTTCAAATTAAGACGTTTTCTCAAATTTATTGTATGATCCTTTTCACAGACTCAGAAACCCAAGTGATGTGTCAAGACAGTGACCCCATCTGCAGTGAATTGGCCAAGGAGGGAAACTGCGAAACAGGATGGATCAAAGCCAACTGCAAAAAGAGCTGCAATGTTTGTTCTGCCACTGATAAAGAACAGACAACCTCGACTGCCACTATCTGTGAAGATATTGGTCCTTTCTGTACTGATTTTGCTGATAAAGGTGATTGCACCAACAACACAGAGTATATGGAAGCAAACTGCCCAGAGAGTTGTGGTTATTGCGGCAACTCTGAAACAGAGGAGCCCGAGACTATCTGTGCAGATTTGGACCCTCTCTGCATTGGTTGGGCAGAATCAGGCGAATGCATATACAGCCCGGACTACATGCAAGTCAACTGTCCTGCAAGCTGTGGCTTTTGCAGTGGTCCTGGAGTGACACCTGTCGAGCCAGAGTGTGCTGACGTTGATCGCTACTGCCCCGATTGGGCTGCTGAAGGCGACTGCCAGACCAACCCAGAATGGATGGAGGTAAACTGTATGGTCAGTTGCGGCATCTGTGGCAACCCACATAACAGCCAGTGCTTCGACACTGACCCATACTGTGTTGATTGGGCAGAATCAGGAAACTGCGAGTCTGACCGAGACTGGATGGTTGTTAACTGTCCACAGAGTTGCGGTCTCTGTCATGGGCCTCTAGTCACCCAGCAGCCGACTGCAAGTACCCAGACTTCTTCCAATGGGCCGAACTGTAAGGACACTGACGTGCTTTGTCCAGACTGGGCTTTCTATGGAGGCTGCTATCAGAACCCAGAGTGGATGCTCCCAAACTGTGCCTACAGTTGCAACTCCTGCCATTACATTGAATCAAACGATACTCGCGTGGACCTGGAACCATCAGAGGAGCCGCTTGGATGCCAAGACAGGTACAGGCTTTGTTATGAGTGGGCATTTATCGGTGGCTGTCTAACCATCCCAGAGTGGATGCTGGCAAATTGTCCGGTAAGCTGCGACTTGTGTGGTGACAGGCAGATCGTTACAGGCTTGCCACCTCCAGCCACAACCAATGCCCAGACAAATGAAGATCATGATGAGGAGTCACAGAATAGTGAAGTATCAGATTGGATAGGTGAAGGCATCCAAACAAGTGACTCATGGAGAGAAAGCCAAATAACTCATTTGTGGGAAGAGAGTGAATTTGAAGACTCATTTGATGAAAACAGTCACTCATCAGTTGAGGTTGTAAGTAACTTACCCGATACAGGAGTGTCACATAGTGAATTCGTCACTGAATCTACTGACATATTTACCCAGGACACAGAAGTTTCAATGAATACAGACTCATTTGAGGAAAACAGCAACTCAACAGTTGACATCATGAGTAACCTACCTGATGTAGAAGTTTCTCAAGATGAACTTGTTACTGAAACTGCCAGCCAATTTACCAAGTACACAGGAATCTCCCAAAATGAAGACTCAGTTGATGAAAACAGAGACTCGACAGTTGAGCTCATGAGTAACTTACCTGACTTAGGAGTTTCGCGGAATGAATTTGTCACTGAATATGCTGAAAAATTTACCCAGGACAAAGGAGTCTCCCAAAATGAAGGCTTATATGATGAAAACAGGGAATCGGCAATTGATGGCATGAGTAACTTACCTGAAACAGGAGTTTCTCGAAATGCATTTGTTACTCAATCTGCTGACAAATTCACCCGATTTAATGTTGGAACAAAACCAGCAGAACAAATGGGCACAATCACAGGTGAAAGAGGGCAACTGCAAACCTCCGTGACACCATCTTCCCACTCCTCCACTAGCTTGTCAAGTCAACTTACCAACTCATCGGATAAAGTAGTTCCAACAACGTTTCATGAGGTAAGCAAGTTTCAAACCACTGAAGCGTTTAACCATGTCAAGCAATTACCTACAACTGAGAGTATATTCTCTGACCCTTCAGAGGATGTACTCAGGACCTCATCACCCTCTGAGGCCACTAAACCACAAAAAGAATCAACTTGGGAATCACCTTCTGTTACCACACACAGAACAAAAAGAACCACAGAGCCAGTGACAAGTAACCATCAAACGACCTCCAAGTTTTTCACCAGATCTTCAGGAGTGAGTACCATTTCACTTCAAAAAGTAAGCAGTACGTCTGCAAACAAGCAAGTATTTACAGGAGCAACTGGTACACTAATGAGTGATCCTATTAAAATACACAGAACCTATCCCAATACCGCACCATCTGAAGGAAGCATGTCATTTAGAACAACTGACTCATCAACGTCTACTGACTCCACCAACAGAATGACCACACCTGTAACTGTTGCAGATTCCAAAAGGACCCATTCACCAAATTTGTTCACCACATCTGAACATTTAGGACATCGTACAACACTTACACAGCTCCTTCACAGATTAACCCAAATGCCACAAGAGAATGGCACCCCAGTGACTGAAGAATTGACAAAGCAGCCCACTGCTCCAATCACCGATGAGGTTTTGAGGATATCAACAACCACGGAGCCCCATGGCAGTCCTCCAACTGATGACTGCATTGACAAACGTCGAAGGTGCCCGGTCTGGGCTTCCAACGGGGGTTGCACAAAACGCGCATCGTTCATGCGCAAAAACTGCAGGGCCAGCTGCAATTTATGCGAAGTCATTGTAGACGAACCAATGTTCTTGGGAACATCACCACCACCAACCACCGTCGAGAGTCCTATGTTTGACTGCACTGACACCAGCAAGTTTTGCCCTGTATGGGCGTCTAATGGAGGATGTGCATCTAATCCCCGCTATATGCTAATCAACTGCAGAAGAAGCTGCGACTCTTGTGATTACACATCGAGTCTCGCTGAGGATGAATACGATGAAGTCTCAGGGTCTGAAGATGACAACCTAGTATCAAATAATGATGAAGAGTCCTTCCTCGTCACAAAAATGACAACTTTGTTTCCAACTCAAGATACAGTGATGATCGGAACGACCGACACAGAAGAGTGTTTGGACTCAGATGTATTATGCACAGCGTGGGCAAAGAATGGCGGATGTGTGGAAAACCCAGGCTGGATGCTTCCAAACTGCAGGAAAAGCTGTAACTCCTGTGATTATGTTGAAGGTTTGTATTAAAGTCTCAATTTTACTTCAATTCGTTTTGCGGATTGTGTGATTAAGCCAAGAATTTACAGAACACAGGGCTCAGGAAAGTTTTTGCCTAAGCACATTCTGCACTCAATAGTCAGTAATTTGATTTATTTAATATCCCAATACAGATTAATTTAATTACTTTAAGATTGAATAACAAGAACCACTTCCTATTCACCTGCCTTTTTCTGTATTTAGCTGTTCCAGTGTGGAATTACTTCAAATAAGGGCCCTCTCGTTGAGATGATCAGCCTAAACGACAAAGCTCCAACACAACAGCCTCTCCAAACAAGCCAGGCATTTTCCTAAAAAAAAGAAGCTTTAAATGACACATAGCAATATGTCATGAAGATTTCAATTTTGAATGTCCTTTAGAGACTGCATGACAGAAAGCTCAGTTTTAACAGAGCTGCTTCTGCATGGAGTACAATGTCATCTATCGCATCATGCTTGTGATGGTTTCTTTTGATCTTTCTTTGATTCGTTAAATTTTTGTTGCCATCCAATAGCATCATTCACAGTTCCAATTACTACATTAGATACGAGTGCAATGCTGTCCATATTTTTTCTAATTTTAGAGGCAGAATCAATGTCATCGGAACCAGTGGACCAGTCGGAGAGTGAGCCAACATCATTCGATGAAACAACAAGAGTGTCAGTACAACAGTCGACCACTAACCCACCAACCAACCACAATGACACAAGTGAGGCTAACTGTACCGACTCCCACTCAAGTTGCGAACACTGGGCATCCATTGGAGAGTGCACAGCAAATCCAAGCTGGATGGAGGCACGCTGTCAAAAGAGCTGCCACACTTGCCAAAACTACTGGTCTGACTGCAATGATGACTACGGATCAGCGTGTGAGGGCTGGGCGGATATCGGAGAGTGTGAGGCTAACCCATCTTGGATGCTGAAGAACTGCAGGAAAAGCTGCAACACCTGCAATGACACTTTCAACGAAGGTAAGAATGTCTGCCTTCTCCTATTATCTGCACAGCTGGTTCATACCTCACACGAATGCAAATACAAACATTCAGACATAATTGGCTGAAGTTGAAATGCATTCAACTTCAAAATCATCTCGATGATTTTGTCTGTAATCAACATGCTTTTATTGCACCTTAGTACTAGCTCAGGTGGACTCCCTTACCGCACTACGTAACAGAGGGAATGCAATGAAGACGGCGTCCATTGAACCACGGCCAACCTTAATACCTCAAATATCTCTTGAAGAGACACAAATGCTTCAAAATCTAAATGTTGTGGTTTTGTCCCAAAATAGTCACTATTTTTTTTTCATTCGAATGAATGTATGGCTGGATATTTTTTTTTACTTTTAAGCTTTCTCTTTATACCCAATTCTGATTGACTTACTTGAAGATTTTTGTTAATATTTCTGGTGACCACAATTATGCAGATTTATGTGCTGACCGCTATGACAAGTGTGCAAAATGGAAGGAGGAGGGGGAATGTGATTATGATCTGGACTGGATGAGGTCAAACTGCAAGCGAAGCTGCGGATTATGTGCCAAAGACAGAGGTAAAAAAATGTCTTATGGAAACACCTGCTAGCAATTAAGCCATGCAATTATGAGACAAGGGCCCCTAAGCCAGGGTACTTTGTGGAAGAAAGGGAGAAAGCTACACCCCATTGCCAATATCTGATGCTCCTCCTTTGCTTCAATATAATTCACAACAGTTACCACAAATTGTGCCTGATATGCAATTGAAGATCCGTTTCTACAGAAAAGTGTCTCCCTCTAAAATGTATCCATATGTCCTTTGTTTTTGCCTCTATGATCACCTGTGCCAAATAGTGACCTGTATATTATCATCATGAAACATTTGGAAGTTTGGAAAACAGAAACCGATCATTGGGTTTTGTGGGAGAGAGAAAATACAGTACTACATATGTATAATTCATGAAAATTAAGCCCTTCATCAAATCTTGGCTTATATGCTACATTGCTTCACTTTAACCATAATATTTTTTATGAAAATTAAAATACAGACTTACCAAAGTCCATTGGCGCATGAAGCCTGCAAAGAGAAAAGGAAGAAATACTGTATGTACAATGTACTTCAAAATATTGGAGTCCCAATAAATTTTCATTTGAATATTGCAGATGAAGTAGAATGTCTTGACGTGTATGATGACTGCAACCAGTGGGCTGAAGATGGGGAGTGCGATTACAACCCAGTATGGATGAGAATCAATTGCTGCCCTACATGTCTTGAGAAGGGTGAGTACCCAGAAAGGTCAAAGTTCAGTCAAAGCTTCTCTGTGTTGTTATTGAACAATGATGGCAAACTGTGACAAAATGTGATGCAAAATAATATGTAATTTTTCAAACCATCTACATCAGAGTCTACATGAGTTAACACGTGTATTTAAAAAGGACAACTGTGTTCAGATAACTTGACGCATGTTGGTCAGAGCATTTCATTTTCTTCAAGACAGAAATGTTTTATATTCTTCATGCTATAGTCTTCTCAAGAAGTGTGTCAAGAAGTTTTGGGCTCACAATATTCCGTGGGTCACCAATTTTTGCTGCATGGAACTGAAGGGCCAACTTAGGCTGTGTCCGAAACGGGCTTCCAGGGCTACGGCTACGTCTATTGTCAGCGCGTCCCCGCGTATTTTCAATGGGCGCAGACCTAGACCTAGCTCTAGACAACTGATTCAGATGCGGCCTTACTGTCCTCTGACTGACTGAGTCACTGACTGACTCACGGACTGTGTCACCGAGTATAAATAATGTCCTAAATCGAGACAATCTGGTCCAACTTGATTATTTAACATCATACTCCTTTACCCTCCAACATGTAGAGCCAACCTACTGTGTGGACAAGGATGAACGCTGCGTGAATCTGACAAAAGAGGGTGCCTGTGAGTTCGACAGAGAATGGATGCTGGTACACTGCAGGATGTCATGTGAAGCTTGCAACATTTCAAGTTTAATCAGTGAGTACAGATCCAAATTACAATCACTAACTGTAATCAACTCCGCCCAACCAATTCTTCTGACAAAAAAATATCAACCTGTCCATTTTCTACAGTGGATATGCCAGGAATTAAAAAAAAATTAGGAATTTTAAAAGTTCACCCTTTCAACTCGGAATCCTGTGTGAATACAAACTGAAACATTTCATAAGTCTTACATTGCTAGGGAGTCTGGTTGGCGCATTGACACTTTCATTGCCTTTCACCTCTTTGATTGGCATGTGTGGATTGGTTTTACAGTCCTTACCTGTTTCTTGGGTTTACTCCAGAATATCTGAGGCTTTCCTCTCACCTCAATACATTATTACTTAACTCTCTCTCATTTCCAAAGAGTAAACCTTTGTTATATTTGAGTGAAAATTCACTCCCACCGACTGGAACTAGAGACCAGATGATTCAGAGTGAAACTCATTCAGTTAAAATATATCAAGTTTTCACTCAAGTTTGCTGCTAGATTTTCTTTTTTCAGAGTGTTTCAATCTTAAACTAGAAAGCACTCAGAGAACGCAAACCTCCGCCAAGTCAAAACAATTCCGCGCTTTATTGTCAGTACACCTAAAAGTAATACTCGCATAGATGGTGAAGAATCCTTCAAAAAATCCTAGATCCAGATCTGGATCACTTCCAAAATCGAATCGATTAATCAATAAAGTTTTGAGCTATCTTGTTAAGACAAACCAACCAACCAACAAAATAATCAACGTTGATGAAAACCTTTACCTCCTTGGCAGCGGTAGTAAGAGTGATGTTCACTCTAAATCGTCTCGTCCCTAGTTTCACCGTTTGGAATTGAGAAAGTTGTCGTCTGTCCATAATTTACATAGGATTGTGGGTTAAAATGCCATTGGTATTTCTGAGATATCCTCAATGTCATTACCAGAAATAAATACAAAAGGCCTAATTGCTTTGTTTTGTGTGAACAGTTCCACACCCAAAGAAGGATTGCACTGATGAAGGAGACTTCTGCGCAGAACTAGCCCTGGAGGGTGAGTGCGAGACTGATAAGGAGTGGATGGAGGACCACTGCTGTCACTCATGCAGTATTATGCCAAAAGGTAAGTAACATATTATCTTTAAAAATGTTATCAAATTTTTGTGAATCTTAAAAGTTATCCCCAAAATAATGCTCCTGTTTCTGTCAGCTCACGGTTCAACAACTTTGTCTGATGTAGATGTAAGTAAATCATGTTGGTTCTGTCAGTTACTTCTGCTTGTTGCATATTAAAAATATGTATGCCAGTGACAGTACTCTCGAAAAACAGTGATTTGTTTTACTTTCAGCAAGTTTAGGGAAATTTACAAAAACTCATTAACCTGAAACCTTTGGTACACCAAATCATACTCTATCTTGGTAATTGAGCCCTACGTTGTCTGACAATTCATACATGGGGGAAGGGGGCCTCATTTTAATAGACCTTTGCCAACCTGTGTCTGGTACTTTTTGCCAATCACGGGCTGGCAAACTATGGAAGGTCAATACTGCAAAAAATATAGAAAAGTTATTAATGTTTCCAAGTTTATCAACAAACCTACCAAAGACTTCTTAGAAATGCCTCTTTCTTACAAAAATGGGTGTTAATATGCAATTTTGGGCAAAATCTGTAGCCAGCGATGGCTTAAATTTATGACCTTTTGTCAGCCCATACAAAATGGCTATCAATGTTTACAAGCGAAAGAAAAGTCCTTTTGCCTATTTTCATAAGGAAATTTTCTTTGATCATATCAGCTTGGATAAGAAATTTGGTTGCACAACACATAATGTTACCTTTTCTATTTTAGACTTTACACCTGGCTGTGCAGATGTGAGGGACGACTGTAAAAAGTGGGCAGAGGCCGGAGAGTGCGCCACCAATGAAAACTACATGATGCTCCACTGTGCAAAAAGCTGTGATAAATGCTCAGGTAAAATCAAGCTGATCATCACACAGTGCTGAAATGTAACTTCTAAAAAATCTTTGCGCCTGTTAAGCAATCTAGTAGTGCTTAATTGGGTAAATAAGAACGAGTGGAAAATGCCTGATCAGAAGGCTGTTGGCCAGCTCAAGGCAAATTTCTTTACTGGAAACAGCTGTTAATAAGGACTTTATTTTAAGGTAAGGTTGAACTGTTATGTCAAGAGGTTTGCAGTGAAGGGGTTCACTGGTGCATGAAAATCTACATGTGCGCCATTAAATGAAGAACAAGCAATTTTACTTCAGAGACGGGCAACTTAGTGACAATGGAAAACCGGACATCCATTCCTAATATTGAATTTGAACTAGGTACACCAGATTTAAACCTACAGAAGCAAATGGCAAGCTAATTGAGTAAACCAAACTGACTTGTATCTTTTTTCCGTTCCTCCTTCAACTGATTAGAAACTAGTTCATTTGGATACCATCCAACTTCTATTTTTCTCCCTGCATTTCTTCAGAATGCTTTGACAGTGACCCCACACGCTGCAGTGAGCTTGCCGACGAGGGCCAATGTGAAGCCAGCCCAGGCACCATGCTGGCCTACTGCCCTAAAACCTGCAACATGTGCATTTAGTAGGCGAGTATTTTACTGTTAGCAGAGGCCCCAGAATTCAGAATTGCCTGAACTCTTTCTTGCAGGCCAGAAGATAGTTAGATTTATCTCACAGAACTAGATCTTTGATGATTCCTTGCTGAGACCAACATGAGCGGGACTAACATTTGTCTCCTTTGCTTTTGGCAATTGAAATACATGTACATTAATTGTGAATTTAAAAAAAAAAACCAGCCAATGTTCTTTTCTGAGCATTTCAAATTTGGCAGTTGCAAAATAATTTATATTTTTTTACTCCCACACTTGGTGCTTGATGAACAGAAGCACCTTGAGGACCTTTGTTGGAGGCCCTGGATTCATATTTAATTAATAGATTACTAAAAAATCGTCCAAAACTCTACAACATAAGTGTCCTTTATTTAATTTATAAAATCAATAAATGCAAATCACTCTTATCTGAAAAGTCAGAGACAGTAAAAAAAATCAATCCTCTTCCCCTGCCATGCCTTTTACATAGGCTAGTCACCAACAGATCCAGGCGCGGTTTTACGGGGGGGGGCTAGGGGGGGCTGTAGCCCCCCCAAAATTGTGTCTAGCCCCCCCAAAAATAAATTCCTTAAAAAAAAAAATTTGCATTTAATAGCAAAAAGAAGGATTGTGATGTACATGCGAACGGTCTTCCCCTAAAGAAATAGTCGTGACAAGGGTGAATTTGTAGTTAAAATAGTGTGAATGATTTTAGGATTTTATTGGCGCTCCCCATTAAAAATATGGCATGAGCCTCCCCCCCCCCCCCCATTGATTTTCGGAGGCCTAAGTGTCTGGAAAAAATAACCGGTCTACATTTCAGCACGCCTCCCTGAAAAAAAATTCTGGATCCACCGTGCTAGCCCCCCAAAAATATTGGTTCTAGAACCGCGCCTGAACAGATCATATTTCAAGCAAGCACTGTGACTTGTCAAATTCAGTCAACAGACAAAAGCAGACAAGTAGTAGACACCGCTGGCTCATCAATCACCTACAGTCAAAGCATAGCTATATCAAATTACATAAACAGCCACAGCCAGTCAATCCTGCTTTATGTAGGCTGGAAGCTCTAAACTTTTCAAAACAGTCACTTGATTGATTTTGACTGAAAGGACAATTTGGCACAGAATGTATGTTTGCATAGGAGGGTTAATGATGAAAAGACACCAATCAAGCAAACACATTGATACACATTGTTGTCTTGCAATTTTCAAAGATGAGCTGGCACACTGTTGTCGAAAGGCCACTTTCTATTTTTACATTAGTTTTCTCAGGTTCAGTGCTCGTATTCATCACAAGTCAATCTCAAGTCAAATTACAAGACACGTCAAAAGTAACTGAAATCAATGACAATGGAATGCCTTTGTCATTGACCCTGTCAATCCAAATGATGGTGCCGTGCAAAACTCAATTTACCAGGCCAAACGGTTCTAAGCGCTGTGCAAGTGCCATGACGAATTCAAATAGGTCAAATAAATTGAGATAATATTTTGACTTACCATTACAGATCACTTGATGAGCAGCCTCCAATATACATTTTCCATCCGTCTCATCTTTACCACTGGGAGGCAGACCTCTTACTGGAGGCGTGTACAGACCACATCTGGCAGAGGCTTGTTTTTTTTTGTTAGCAGAGCAAGTACGCCACATTGATGGCCATCAATGCAGACATGTTCCTTGAGATGTGGCTCTGGCTGGGGCTAGCTCGGTATAACCCTGATGTTGTTTGGTTCCTGTTAATGTTCAAAGATAAGACTTAAGGGTTTGCATGGTGGACATGATCAATGAATGGGATGTGAATGATATCTCTTAGTGAGTTGTGTGGTTCTGGGAAGAACCAGCTGGTTTAACTCGACGTTTCGAACAGTATGCTATGCTCGTCAGCAGGAGACTGAGGTGCAGGGCAAACCGCTACCTCCAGCTTAGGCCAAGTTCGGGCAAAGACCATTAGTCGACTAGTGGTTGATTTGTGACGTACCTTATGCCTGGGCACTAATAGCAACATGCGAACGTCTCTAGTCAAACACTGGTCAAAATGTCATTGCAAAACTTCTGGCTCCTGGCTCCCTGCTGTAAGTTATGAATGTGCGCAGCTATTGGTTACCAGTGATGCAACCAGCCCCAGTAGGTTGGTTGCAAATAGTCGACTAGTGTAGTCAACCACCGTCGACTAGACAGAGTTCGGGCTAACTTTAGTCGAACTATGGTTAACCAATGGTAAACAATAGTTCTTGCGCGAACTTGCCCTTGGATTTCGTGCTGAAGTCAACGGCAAGCCTCTCCATGATGCATAGATTTGCACAAGATGATGAACAGAGCATACTTTTCAAAACGTCAAGTTCAACCAACTGGTTCTTCTCAGAACCACACAACTCACTAAGAGATATCATTCACATGGCGTTACCACAAAACCTCCCATTCAATGTTCAAAGAGTTCATCGGTAATCAGACATTTTCTGTTTAAGGCTTTGCATTGCTCACAACAGCATTCCAAGGGCAGGTAAAGTATTATCAAAACCTGAAAAATAAATATGTCGTCTTAGAAAAGTATGTGAAGGTCTGTGAATTTTTATGTTGCATAAATTGTTTTTTTTTTCCACAAGTGATTTTAAGTAAGATGTTATAAGTTTGTACTGTTTCTTCAGTCTTGTGTCATTACCAAGAAAGAAAATAGTACTAGTAGCTTTTTCTGAAAGACAATTTTCTGATTTGTTTTACAGAATGCTGCAAAAGTGAAGAAAACGAGCAATGAAAAAAACCCTTAGCATTTAATAAATCTTAATAAGTAAAATTAATATCTTTTTAATGTTCCTCCTCATCTATCCATGCATGCATTTATTCAAACCACATCCATCTCATGGTCAATTACAGCATTGGGTTTTTGTTAGTTTGATATCAAAACTTGTGATTTTTCAAATTTACTTGACGAACAAATGTAAATATTTATAACACCTCACCCACAGGTTCTGTGTCTTGATTGGCCGAGAGCGAGTCACATGATACTTTCTATTTTTGCTATCTTTCTGTACACGGCCAAAAGTACTATACCATTAGCAACCAAAGTACTATATCCACGGCGCGGTATTTGTGTGCAAATGCATGCTGGTGTGCGCGTTGCGCATTGCGCGTTTTGTTCCAAAGAGCGCGCTAGGGCGCCGCAGAGTTGGGTTCAAACATTTCGTGAAGGGGTAGTTTGGAAGAGAGAGATACATTTTCCACCAATTTTGTATTGAAATTGAAGTATTTCAACTGTGTTCAGATTTAAATAATATAAAATATTAAAACCTAGCAGAATCTGTGGGCGAAGTGTTATAAAACAAATATTGAATGCTTTATCTCGTGGTGTAGTAAAACTAGCCTCCCTCGGTGATCCATGGACCACTCTATTTTCCCTCGGCTTCGCCTCGGGAAAATAGAATGGTCCATGGATCACCTCGGGAGGCTAGTTTCACTACACCACTCGAAGCATTCAATATTTGTATAATATATAGTTATAAAGAAAAATTCATGTTGTGATTGACATAATTATAGTTGATGGTTCAGCATTCCCTCATTGCTTTGTATGTTACTTAATCCACAAGCTACCCAAACCCTCATCATTCATTCTCCTTTCCCAGGACTATAACTAATAAATATTTCAAATGTGACATTGGTGCTTCAATGTGAAATAGAGACATTTTAGTGTTGGACTATATTATGTGAAATGTTGAAAGTTTGAGCATGCAAGCTAAGCTGTCTTCCGTACTGATTAAAAAATGTATACAAATCTGTAACTGTTTTCAACATGTATCTATCATTGAACAGTTTCAAATATTCAGTAGACCCTTGCTTTTAATAAATTGCCAAATACAATTTTAAATCATGTAACAGACGAAGCAGCTCGATTGTTTTGTCTTGTCACTGTGCATGTCTTTTCCTCCTTCCATCCACTTCTCATGCAAGGAACCTAACTTTTTCCTAATGATTTTTACATATGAATTACTGAAATTCAAACTACTTGTAACTTTCCTCAGTTTAACATAAATGAGGCTAATCAGAAAAATACATGAATCCTAATGAAATCCTTTCATCCAAAGTCACCGGAAAGTGAAAAGTTTAACAACTTGTAAACCTTTTGTTCAAACGAACAGTCTTACCTATATAGCAACAACTCATTGTTCCCTTTCCTGCCTTTTTATAGCCCCTGTTCCACAATCCGTCCCTACCCCTACACCCTCCACCCCAGCCCTACCCCTACCCCTAACCCACTCCCCAGTACTAAATAGTGAAACAGAAGACCCATTGGACATCGCGACAACAAACCATAGAGGCAATAATTGGTGTGCTTGAGAAAGTATCATGTAAATGTGTCAATGAGGACAGATACAACAGGATGACGGTGTGAGAAAAATTGTGAAGTTGTTGAGTGTTCAGAGAGATCCTGCGATAGGTAACCAGGGGGCTAGCTGAAACTCTTAACAGAAACGATCCATTTGAATAAGCATGTTCAGAGACAAATTCTCTTGAACAGACTAGAGAAATTGCAAATTCTTGAAAATGGAATCTGATTCCATCCAGGAGTCATAATTCCATTCAGAATCAACTCAACATATACCCAGCATAAAAGCAGTGGGAAAAACCTCAGTGACACCACGAAAAATTACAGTGCATGTACAGTACATGTTAATAGTGGATCATTAGTGCAAATAAAAGTGATCAGAGAGATGTAATCCCTCTCTAAAAAACAAGATCACATACCACAAAAAAATTTAAATTGTCTTGAAATTTTGTGGAAGTAAGAGCTGATTCCTGTAAAAAATGGAGCCATGACTCCAATTCAGAGTTAAAAATTGAATGTTTTCCATAGGGATACTAGTATTGGGCCTACTATGTGAGCTTAAATTTTGAAGCTCAATCGACTTGTTTGATAAAACGCTTAAATGTCACTTGGATGGGATGCCAATCGGCATGAGGGGTGACTGCTCTTTGTTCCGACACCCCTATGTTTCGACAACCTGCACATA